AGAAACCAAGAGCAGAGAAAAAAAGCGCAAAAAGGAATGAACAAAGTCTCCAAGAAATGTGGGACTATGTGAAGAGACCTAACCTACGTTTGATAGGTGTACCAGAATGTGACGAAGAGAATGAATCCCAGCTGGAAAATACTCTTCAGGACATTATCCAGGAAAATTTCCCCCACCTAGCAAGACAGGTCAACACTCAATCACAGGAAATACAGAGAACACCAGAAAGATATTCCGCAAGAAGAGCAACCCGAAGGCACATAATCGTCAGATTCAACAAGGTTGAAATAAAGGAGAAAATACTAAGGGCAGCCAGAGAGAAAGGTCGGGTCACCCACAAACGGAAGCCCATCAGACTCACAGCAGATTACTCGGCAGAAACTCTACAAGCCAGAAGAGAGTGGGGGCCAATATTCAACATTCTTAAAGAAAAGAATTTTTAACCCAGAATATCATATCCAGCCAAACTGAGCTTCAGAAGTGAAGGAAAAATAAAATGCTTTGCGAACAAGCAAGTACTCAGAGATTTTGTCACCACCAGGCCTGCTTTACAAGAGCTCCGGAAAGAGGCACTACACATAGAAAGGAATAACCAGTACCAGCCATTCCAAAATCACACTAAACGCTAAAGAGCATCAACATAATGAAGAATTTACAACAACTAATGGGCAAAACAGCCAGCTAGCATCAAAATGGCAGTATCAAATTCACACATAACAATATTAACCGTAAATGTAAATGGACTAAATGCACCAATAAAAAGGCACAGACTGGCAAATTACATAAAAATCCAAAACCCATCAGTGTGCTGTATCCAGGAAACCCATCTCACATGCAAGGATACACAAAGGCTCAAAATAAAGGGATGGAGGAAGATTTACCAAGCAAATGGAGAGCAAAAAAAAGCAGGAGTTGCAATTCTCATCTCTGATAAAATAGACTTTAAAGCAACAAAGATCAAAAGAGACAAAGAAGGCCATTACGTAATGGTAAAAGGATCGATACAACAAGAAGAGCTAATGATCCTAAACATATATGGACCCAATACAGGAGCACCCAGATACATAAGGCATGTTCTTAACGACTTACAAAGAGACTTAGACTCCCACACAATAATAGTGGGAGACTTTAACACTCCACTGTCAATATTAGACAGATCAACCAGACAGAAAATCAACAAGGATATCCAGGGCTTGAACTCAGACCTGGAGCAAGCAAACCTGATAGACATTTACAGAACTCTCCACCCCAAATCCACAGAATATACATTCTTCTCAGCACCACATCACACCTACTCTAAAATTGACCACATAATTGGAAGTAAAGCACTGCTCAGCAAATGCAAAACAACTGAAATCATAACAAATAGCCTCTCAGACCATAGTGCAATCAAGTTAGAACTCAGAATTCAGAAACCAACCCAGAACCGCACAGCTTCATGGAAACTGAACAACTGGCTCTTGAATGTTGACTGGATAAACAACGAAATGAAGGCAGAAATAAAGAAGTTCTTCAAAACCAATGAGAACGAAGACACAACATGCCAAAATCTCTGGGACACATTTAAAGCAGTCTCTAGAGGAAAGTATATAGCAATAAGTGCCCATATGAGGAGAATGGAGAGATCCAAAACTGACACCCTATCATCAAAATTGAAAGAGCTAGAGGAGCAAGATCAAAAAAACTCAAAACCCAGCAGAAGACAAGAAATAACTAAGATCAGAGCTGAACTGAAGGAGATTGAGACACGAAAAACCCTCCAAAAAATCAATAAATCCAAGAGCTGGTTTTTTGAAAAGATCAACAAAATAGACAGACCACTAGCCAGATTGATTAAAAAGAAAAGAGAGAACAACTAAATAGATGCAATAAAAAATGATAAAGGGGAAATCACCACAGATTCCACAGAAATTCAAACCATCATCAGAGAATATTACAAACAACTCTATGCACATAAACTAGTAAACCTGGAAGAAATGGATAAATTCCTGGACTCCTGTGTCCTCCCAAGCCTAAACCAGGAGGAAGCTGAAACTATGAATAGACCAATAACAAGGGGAGAAGTCGAGGCAGCAAATAAGAGCCTACCACACAAAAAAAGCCCAGGTCCAGACGGGTTCACAGCCGAATTCTACCAGACACACGAAGAGGAGCTGGTACCATTCCTTCTAAAACTATTCCAAATAATCCAAAAAGAGGGAATCCTTCCCAAATCATTTTATGACACCAACATCATCCTGATAACAAAACACGGCAGAGACCCAACAAGAAAAGAAAACTTCAGGCCAATATCCATGATGAACATAGATGCAAAAATCTTCAATAAAATACTGGCAAGCCGACTGCAACAGCAAATCAAAAAACTTATTCATCATGATCAAGTAGGATTCATCCCGGGGATGCAAGGCTGGTTCAACATACGCAAGTCTATCAACGTAATTCACCACATAAACAGAACCAAAAACAAAAACCACATGATTATCTCAATTGACGCAGAGAAGGCATTTGACAAAATTCAACAGCCCTTTATGCTAAAAACCCTCAATAAACTCGGTATCGATGGAACGTATCTCAAAGTAATAAAAGCTATTTATAACAAACCAACAGCCAATATCATACTGAATGGGCAAAAACTGGAAGCATTCCCTTTGAAATCTGGCACTAGACAAGGATGCCCTCTCTCACCACTCCTATTCAATATAGTACTGGAAGTTCTAGCCAGAGCAATCAGGCAAGAAAAAGAAATAAAAGGTATTCAAATAGGAAAGGTGGAAGCCAAATTGTCTCTATTTGCAGACGACATGATAGTATACCTAGAAGACCCCATCGCCTCAGCCCAAAAACTCCTGAAACTGATAAACAACTTCAGCAAAGTCTCAGGATATAAAATCAAAGTGCAAAAATCACAAGCATTCGTCTACACCAATAACAGACTTAAAGAAAGCCAAATCAAGAGCGAACTGCCATTCGCAATTGCTACAAAAAGAATAAAATACCTTGGAATACAACTCACAAGGAACGTAAGGGACCTCTTCAAAGAGAACTACAAACCACTGCTCAACGAAATCAGAGAGGACACAAACAGATGGAGAAACATTCCATGTTCATGGTTAGGAAGAATTAATATCATAAAAATGGCTATACTGCCCAAAGTAATTTACAGAATCAATGCTATACCCATCAAGCTACCATTGACTTTCTTCACAGAACTGGAAAAAACCACCATGAACTTCATATGGAACCAAAAGAGAGCCCGCATAGCCAAGTCAATTCTAAGCAAAAAGAACATAGCGGGGGGCATCACACTACCGGATTTCAAACTATACTACAAGGCTACAGTAATCAAAACAGCATGGTACTGGTACCAAAACAGAGATATAGACCAATGGAACAGAACAGAGGCATCAGAGGCAACACAACATATCTACAACCATCCAATCTTTGATAAACCCGACAAAAACAAGCAATGGGGAAAGGATTCCCTGTTCAACAAATGGTGCTGGGAAAACTGGCTAGCCATGTGCAGAAAGCAGAAACTGGACCCCTTCCTGACACCTTACACCAAAATTAACTCCAGATGGATTAAAGACTTAAACATAAGACCTGGCACCATAAAAACCCTAGAAAGAAATCTAGGCAAAACCATCCAGGACATTGGAGTAGGCAAGGACTTCATGAACAAAACACCAAAAGCATTGATAACAAAAGCCAAAATAGACAAATGGGACCTAATGAAACTCCACAGCTTCTGCACGGCAAAAGGAACAGTCTCTAGAGTGAATCGGCAACCAACAGAATGGGAAAAAATTTTTGCAGTTTACCCATCTGACAAAGGGCTGATATCCAGAATTTACAAAGAACTCAAACAGATTTACAGGAAAAAAACAAACAAGCCCATTCAAAAGTGGGCAAAGGATATGAACAGACACTTTACGAAAGAAGACATATATGAGGCCAACAATCATATGAAAAAATGCTCATCGTCACTGGTCATCAGAGAGATGCAAATCAAAACCACATTGAGATACCATCTCACGCCAGTTAGAATGGTGATCATTAAAAAATCTGGAGACAACAGATGCTGGAGAGGATGTGGAGAAAAAGGAACACTTTTACACTGTTGGTGGGAGTGTAAATTAGTTCAACCATTGTGGAAGACAGTGTGGAGATTCCTCAAGGCCTTAGAAATAGAAATTCCATTTGACCCAGCAATCCCATTACTGGGTATATATCCAAAGGACTATAAATCGTTCTACTATAAGGACACATGCACACGAATGTTCACTGCAGCACTGTTTACAATAGCAAAGACCTGGAATCAAGCCAAATGCCCATTGATGATAGACTGCATTGGGAAAATGTGGCACATATACACCGTGGAATATTATGCAGCAATCAGAAATGGTGAGTTCGTGTCGTTTGTAGGGACAAGGATGAATCTGGAGAACATCATTCTCAGCAAACTGACACAAGAACAGAAAATGAAACACCGCATATTCTCACTCATAGGCGGGTGATGAAAAATGAGAACACATGGACACAGAGAGGGGAGTACTATACACTGGGGTCTATTGGGGGGAAAAGGGGAGAGCCAGTGGGAGGGGGAGGTGGGGAGGGATAGCCTGGGGAGAAATGCCAAATGTGGGTGAAGGGGAGAAAGCAAACAAAACACACTGCCATGTGTGTACCTATGCAACTGTATTGCATGCTCTGCACATGTACCCCAAAACCTAAAATGCAATAAAAAATAAATAAAAAAAATAAAAGTAAGGAAAAAAAAAAAAGAGGCATTTCAAGTACAGAAATATGGGCAAAATGACCATTTGTAGGATTACTACTAAAGCAGTTCTTACAAGGGAAAGGACTTTCCCCAAGGTAACATTAAAGGAATTTTTAAGATTCTGATTTATCTTCACTTATGCAACTTATCTTGTTAGTAAATAGATTCAGGGGTAAAAACCATGGGCATATAAAATGTATGTCTAGCCATTAACTGTTACCTGTTTTTGTTAGCAAAAGGTTATCCAGGTGCCTGTCTCCAACTCCAAGTATATATGTGATCACGCAATATCCAGCTGCAATAACAGTTAAAAAAAAATGAAAACAAATGCAAACCAGGTTATACATTCTACTGAATATGAGAGTAGTTTGTACAATGTTAATATAAGTTTGTTTTCTAATTTCTCTGATTTTTCATCTAAATTCTCAATATGCGATCTTTATGAAGAGTCTGTCACTTGAAACTCAAAGTACTATGTAAAACAATACAGAGGGGGAAAATTTTCTCTCAAAAGCTTCAGCATTTTTAAGTCTTTAAATACTGCATGTAATCATGTTTATGAGCAAATTCGGTTACATGTAATATATGTTTACATTCCTATAGTAAAAATAAGAATTAAAACTATAAAGGATTCTAATATATACAAACACAGTTTTATTTCCATATTCTCAAAGTTCATTTTCTTTCTGCTTTTCAGACAAAAATGTATCATCAAGAATACATTTGAGAATAAGGTCCAATATAATTTGGAAAGTGACTTCAGAGGAGTGTTGTGAAAAACGCAAACATATTACATATAAGAAAGCAACTTCTAAACCATAAAATAACATGCCAGCTTAAATATAGTTTTAACAACTAACTGGAAAGCCCTCTTCCTGCTCTCCCAGCTTAAGTATAGGCATAAATATGAACATAAACATAAACATAGCACTTATATAAAACAGGTATAACATATCATATATCCTAAGTCATTCAGGGATCAACTCTAGTGTCAACTCCTTTATCAATCCTCCCTTAAACAATCTAGTTATAACAAAAAAAACTTAAGAGTAAAGAAATAAACATGCTGGCATGGTGGCTCATGCCTGCAATGTTAGCACTTGCATGGCTGAGGCAGGTGATCATTTGAGCCCAGGAGTTTGGGACCAGCTGGGCAACATGCCAAAACTCCATCTCTATAAAAAATACAAAAAAATTAGCCGGGTGTGGTGGCACATGCCTCCTACAGTCCCAGGTACGTGGCAGGCTGAGGTAGGAGAATCACCTGAACCTGGGAGGTCGAGGCTGCAGTGAGCCATGATTGCGCCACTGCACTTCAGTCAGCCTGGGTGACAGAGTGTGACCCTGTTTCCAGGAAATAAAAATAAAAATAAATACAAGAAAATGAAAAAAAATCCTTTAGAATATAAGCTTTCATGATGTTAGGCATAAATGACTAAAGAATAAAAATTAATCCCTATGTCACCTATTATTTATTTCTAGATAATACTACTACTGCTTACTTATTTCTAGGAATGGACCATAAGTACTGACTATAAAATACTATGAAGGCATCCTCTTAATGAAGCACCATTATCTCCGCTCTTAAACTTTATCTAAAGCACAATTATTTCTGATTGAGACTTTTCCCATAACCTACTTAGTTTCTGTTATTCAAAAACAGAGAACATCTAATGGAAAATTAACAGCTTCCAGGAAGAGATGAATTGTAATTATAAAATAGTTTAATGATTGCAAAGATATATCCATGAAAGACTAAATAGAATTTACAACTTGTTACTACTATTATGTCAAAGCATTAATGAGTACTTTAATCAACATTTATCTTTTACTCTTCCTAGAGAGCATTTAAACATTAACATGTTCTAAATGTATATGATATGGCAATGTCAGGATGGGCTGCTCTTATTTGAACATATCAATGGAAAGTAATAGCCTGAAAAACTTACCACAGCTTTTAACGTAAGTGTCCATGACCTCAGCACTAATCCCATTTGGCCCATTCTCACTTGGTGCATATTTTCTAAAAAAGTTCTGAAAGACATTACTTATATGTTTAGAAATTAAGTATAAACAAATTACATGTTTTGAAACTATAAATAATGGCCAACAAGAGTCTAGCTTAATCAAAATACAGTATAAGAGGGGCTGACCAAACAAAATAATTGTTAAGAGTACAATAAATACACTAGAGTTTCCAGGGTCTAGAATAGTTTTCTCTATTGAGAAACTGTGTCTAATTTTTCCCCCAGATTACCAACTGAATCTATTCTTTTACATTTAAAGGATAAAAAAAGAAAAAAAAGAAAAACCACAGAGCACATTATTTGAAAACACAATTAATGTCCTACTACAAAATAAGTTTATCCTATGCTTTCACCTTTTTGGTACGCCCTGTATGTCTGACAAAGGATTGGTATCTGGAATATATTTTAAAAACTCCTAGAACTAGATCAGTAAGAAACACACAAACAACCCAACAGGAACACGGGCCACAGGAGGATGTGAACAAGCACTTCACAGAAGAAACAAATGGCCTTTACACATATTTTCATATGTTCAATCTTATGGATAATCAGGGGAATGCGAACAAACCAAAATGAGGTAAGAGTTTGACATTTGGCAACACTAAGATTTGGCAAAGATGTGCAGTAAGGAGAAACACGAGAAGTGTAACTATTTTGGAAAACAACTTTTAATTAGCAAAAAACAACTCTGAATTACCAAATAAAGCTGAACATGATCTATCACCCAGCTAAATGACTTACACAGATTAGATGTGCAGTCAAGAATCAAGGTGTAACTGTTTTCATTTTATAAATCTGTTGTAAATTGTGTTCACCAATTCACAAATTGTGTTTTCATTTTATTAAATCATAATTAAACAAAACAACAAATAAAAAAAAAAAAAACTTGTGAAACAATGATGGCAATTAGGACCCATGTTAAAAACTTTAAGTATACTTTATGTCCTCTTCAGAACAATGCTAGAGTAACATGGGTCATACCCAAATTTTACAGATGGAAAAACTGTGTTTTGAATGGAATATTAAAGGGGTTCCCAGGACCACTGACAGGTTTGACTTGCTACAAGGTCTTACAGGCAAAAGATGTAGTTGTACCATGACTAAAGTTTGTTACAGAGAGAGGATACACAATAGAATCAACCTGGAAATCACATACAGAAAAAAATCTAGAGAAATTCATTCATATCCATCTCTGTCCTGTAAAGAGACACACTGAGCTTCTTCTCCAATAGCCAAAGATAAAAAAATAAAAAGCAGTAACATGGGTACAGTGTTCCTGCCAAGGGAAGCTCATTAGAGGCTTAGAACTCAAGGTTTTATCAAGAACCGGTCACCCAGCCACCTTCTGTCTAGCTGCTATAAAATTCCAGACTCCCAGGAGGAAAGCGGGTTTTTGAGTAGAAAGCACATTATTTGAGCAAAGAATCTAGGCACAGTGAACCACCCTTCTCAATTAGGAAGCAAAGGGAACACGCTGAAAGCCAATGACCAATCTCCTGGCAAGGAGGGCTTTCCAGAGATAGCAACCTTAGCCCTATGTTAACTCTTCTCTGCAGTTCACTCAAGGTTACAGAGCTGGAAAGTTACACAGGTGGAATTCAATTCTAGGCAGATTGATGTCTTGCCTGAGCTTTTATCCACTGCATCTGACTGCACTCCAAATCAAAAACACAATAAGCACCTGCTTTGCACAAGAATCAGAATAATAATTTTCTACAAATCTAACTTTCATACTGAATAAATGCAACAATTAAATAGGGAAAGGCAAAAACACACTGTATCAAATATCCTCTACCAAGTCCTTCTATGTATTATCTTTGATCTCAGGTCTATCGATTTTTGTTTGAATTACATACCTTTTTCTTACATGGGAGAATAGAAAAATTATATTTAAAAAATACAAAAATAAACCATTAAGATGTTACAACTAATACATGTATTCAAAGGGTAAAAAAGCTCCAAAGATATACATTTCTTTGTCCCAGGAACCACTCACCTTTTCTCCTATTAAAGGGGAGCAACAGATTGGAGGGAGAGGATAGGGGTCTTAAATAATTATACAAAAGATGGATGAGCAACAATATCATGATAGCAGTGCTCTGAGTAACAAAAACTTGATGGAAATAATCAAAGCTCCCATCAATTAATGTCAAATAAATTACAACCTCTCCATACTTGGGAAATAATGCAAATATAAACATTAACGAATTTTAATTTCTTCACCAATTAACTCTTTTTTTTTTTTGACACAGTCTTACTCTCTCACCCAGGATGGAGTGCAATAATGTGATCTCAGTTCACTGCAGCCTCCACCTCCCAGGTTCAAGCAATTCTCCTGCCTTAGCCTCCGAAGTAGCTGGGACTATAGGTACATGCCACTGCGCCTGGCTGAGTTTTGTGTTTTTAGTGGAGATAGGGTTTCACCATGTTGGCCAGGCTGTGTTCACCAATTAATGCCTGATCCCTTGATATGCAATGCACTGTTCAAGGAACTGAGTATCTGTGTGTAATAAATGGAAAAATCTTCAACTGAGAACAGGCTTACTTCTGAATAAAGGAAGAAAAAAACTAGCAGAAAAAAAAATGGCAAAAGGAGACTTTCATTTTTAACTCTACGTTATAAAGACTGAATTTTTTTATGACAAGAATATATTCATAAATTGCATACTCTTTATTGATACCATACCTGAATGCTTCCCTCTGTATCAAGAACTTCAGCCACAGGAACTGACTGGATAAACTGCATGAAGCCTACACAGAAATGTATGCATTGCATTAAGCATTGCTACTGGTTAAGAAATGAAAATAAAGCTTCTGTTAAGAATAATCTTCATCTGTAAATGAATGCATTCCATAGCTGAACAACTTAAAAATATATGTACACAATATTAAGTTTACACTGGCATTTATGTCACAGTACCTATAAGAAAACTTTTTCTTTTTTCTGTAGACTTACAACATGTACCAATTAAAATATTCCAAATTTAAAATCACCGTAAGATATCCAGACTCGTGGAATACAATCCCCTAACCCTAAATGCCGTATGTAAAACTGTATGCAATGGCTCCTTTTGTCTAACATTCCATCTTGTGTCATTTACTGGTAATGACAGATATGTAAATTTCTTAAACTATCAAAAAAAAAAAAAAAAGGAGGGGAGAGAGGTCAGAATGAGAATGAGAAAAACTCAGTCTGCTAAATCTGAAGACAATAGAAGCATAAAACAATGGATATATTAAAAAAAAAAAGTTGAATGAAGGAAACAATATTTCAAGATCATAAACTATCATGATCTGATTCTGGTAAGCATTACAGGATAATAAATTGCATGCAAATTAGGAGACTGTATACTCCTCTAGAGTAAGAAAGATCTCATTTATTCTTACATCATAAATACAGAATAGCTGGCATTAATTCATTTATTCTTTCTCTACCATGTAGGAAGAAATTTGCCAAGTAAGCCAAAATAGATGCTTGACACTGCCTTCATGGATCTTAAAGCTTATAAACTTCACTGAGATAAATACTATGAATATAAGGTCCAATGAAAGGAAGTAACATAAGGAGACGTAACTTACAGTAGGGATTGAAGGACATCTATCATTTGAGCCATGTTTTCAGGGATAATAAAGTTAACAGGCCATGGAGCAATCAATGTCTTAGACAATGATCACAGTGTATGTGAAGGCCTTAGAGCACAATGCATTAGATAAAACAAGGCAGCCAGTATGGCTAAAACCTAGGATGCAGGGGAAGAGTGGCAAAAGGAAGAGGCTTGAAAGATAGATATAGGGTGTGTCACACTATATCTTAGAAGCTAGGTAGCTTTACCTAGCACTTAGAAGCTAGGTAAAGGTTTTTTGGGTCTTTGTCCCAAGAGAAAATGAAAGCTAACAAATGAATTTTTGCAGGATAGTAAAGATGCATATTTGCACTTGAAGAGTAATTAGGGCATCAAAAAGATTTGTGAGTGGCCAGAGGAAGAATAGAAAACCTACAGTGCATGTTTTGTTTCTCAGTAACTACTGGTATAAAGCTAGAAAGGTAGCAAGACTATGGAATTTACAGTAAGCATTAGCCAAGCATTCCCAGGAAATCTTATACCAAACTTCCAGAGATTATTCATCTCAAAAGGACTTACATGTTCTGTCTGACTCTGTGTGTGTGTGTGTGTGTGTGTGTGTGTGTGTGTGTGTGTGTCTATGTTTACGGGATTGTCAGGATTGTCTGAAATATCCTGTTTCTCAGTAACTACATTAACCAGTAGTTACTGACAAACAGGAAAGACGACAGAAGGGAAACAGGCAGGAAAGTCCAACTTGTCTTCAGTGCTACAAATGAAATTTATTTGTATCTCTAACAGACTCAACAATTTTCAGTTTGACAAAGTACACACAATGTACACTAAACAATAATGATTTAAAATACACTCACCATGTTTTGTACTGGTGGCTAACACTTTATAAGGTGTCAATTTCAAGTCGAGATTTTCTTTCCGTAACAACTTTTAATCAAAAGGTAAAATATATTAACCAAATGTAAAGATTGTTAAAAAACAGTTTTATGGGCAAATAGTATAGCAGTTTAATATGATACAGATTTAGGAAGTTAACCGAAATTAAGTTTATATTAATTAATTTAACTTTGATCATTAAAATTAAATTTATTAAGACCTTAGATGATGGGATGCTAAATTTTTCATCTACTCCAAATCTCTGTCAGCAGTTTTCAGTGAACAATAGGCTTTTTCCTATCACTTCATGCAGTCCTTTCTGTACATAAAATACTTTAGAGCTCAGAAAAAGGGAAATGGGCAAACATGTACTTTTTAATGCCAGGGATACAGATGGAATTAAAAAAAAAAAAAGATTTAATAGTGTAAGAGGAAGGAAACTATTAAATCCCATATTTACATAACTTAATCGAGAAAAAAAAAACTATAGAACACATGTATTACACTCATACTCTGTTGAGCTTTCTAGGATCGTACCTGAATATTACAAATACTTCTGTTCCATAAACAGCAAATGTACTAAACCACAGTCTTCTAAAAGGAAATAATGTTCCCCATCAACCTAAGGTCATATTCACCTTGTCCATGAGTGAAATGATTTGAAGTATAAGTTGATCTTGACGTAAATCATCTCCATGCTTAAATATAACTGGATATTTGCCTCCATCTTCTGTCTTAAAAAATAACTGTGCAGGCATAAGGGCACTCTGGAAAATAAAATATTGATTTCAAATCTGGGCTTGAATTAATACATAAAGATTTGCTATACATACAAGAAAATGTTGATATACAAGATAAAGACACAGGGAAACAGGGCCCAAAAAACAAGTTGGGTTGTCAGTGAGATACATTAGGGTACATTAGAAAGAACAATGAACTAGCTAATAGTCAGAAGACTACATGGTGGAAGGGGCACCAGCTCTACAATTAGTCATGTGATTGAAACATTCCAGGCTCTGCCAGGTACTAGTAGGATAGTCTCGTGTATTCTTTAACGTGTTTCCTCGCCTGTAAAACAAAAATAACATCTCCTCTGCAGAGTTACTAAGGCATTCAGAAACTGTACAGGTCAACAGTCTGGCACCATGCATAATACAGACATTCCACATATATATCTATCAACATTTTTATTTTTAGAGGTATACTGGAATAAACAAGGTGAAACAGTACAGCATAACAATGTAACCAGATCAGCATAACAATGTACCAGATGGAAAGTCAAGAGCCCTGTATATTACAGGTTGAGTATCCCATAACAGAAATGCTTGCAAGTGTTTTGGATTTTGGACTTTCCCAGATTTTGGAATATTTGCATAATAAAGTACTTCGGGGATGTGACCCAAGTTTAAACTTGAAATTCAATTATGTTTCATTTACACCCTATACAACATAGGCTGAAAGTAATTTTACACAATATTTTTAGTAATTTTGTGCATGAAACAAAATTCTGGCTGTGTTTTGGCTGGGATGCATGACATAAAGTCATGTTGCGGCCGGGCGCGGTGGCTCAAGCCTGTAATCCCAGCACTTTGGGAGGCCGAGACGGGTGGATCACAAGGTCAAGAGATCGAGACCATTCTGGTCAACATGGTGAAACCCCGTCTCTACTAAAAATACAAAAAAATTAGCTGGGCATGGCGGTGCGTGCCTGTAATCCCAGCTACTCGGGAGGCTGAGGCAGGAGAATTGCCTGAACCCAGGAGGCGGAGGTTGCGGTGAGCCGAGATCGCGCCATTGCACTCCAGCCTGGGTAACAAGAGTGAAACTCCGGCTCAAAAAAAAAAAAGTCATGTTGCAGGGTTTTCCACTTGTGGCATCATGTCAGCACTCAAAAAGTTTCAGATTTTGGATTTTTGGTTTAAAGATGCTCAATCTATACTAGTTGTGCAGACTTAAGACTCAAATTCCTCATTTATAAAATGAGAGGAGATTTCAAATATCTGTATCTTTTACTGTGGAATAATTTTATGTTTTCCTAGAGTCCTTCCCTTAATTATATGACTATCTAAATTAGTTTAGGTATATGTTTAAATCAACAAAAAAATAAATTCTCTTTAGAAAGGGGGAATCATACAAAACCTTATGTAAATGGCATGCTAAGAGAGAGATTCTGGAGATAAACAATCAGAAAATTGTTCTGAGAGAGAAACACTACTGAGTTTGGTCATTGAGAAGAAAGTATACAAAAAAAAATTTGGTGAAATATATTAATCCAAAGAAAACAAATGAGTCAAACAAATTTAAAAACAACAACAATAATAAAATGGTAATAACCAAGAGAAATAATGGCCCAAAAAACATCATACAAAAGGATGAAGAGATGTGAAAAATAAATGGCAAAATGTTAATGACAGAATTAAAGTGGCAGGTACACAGTTGTCTACTATAAAATTCCTTCAACTTTGCTGTATGCTTAAAAACTTTTCTATAAAATGCTGGGAAAACAAACCAACAACATGGAAAATGGTTCAGAGAATATATGTTTAAAACTTACAAACTCTAGTTGGAACAAAATTCTGAACTTTAAATTCCCTTAAATTTGGAATATCCTTTTATCACTCCTGGTGAAAACGTATTTTATAAATTACCCTGAGCCTAGTTCACAAAAATTCAACAATAATTGGAAGTTATCTTCCTAAAGATAAATGACAGGCAGGAGAATCTTTGTTGTGATTTCCTTTTTCAGATTCAATTAGACTTCATCTAATTTAGATTTCATCTGAAATTTAAAGCCAGAAGACAACCACAGGAAAACTAGCAATCATCCCAGTACCTTAAGGGGTCCACTACCCGTGAGTATCAGCTTTGGCTATTACACTAAGGTCTACAAAATTACTTTTATAACTACTAGAAACAAGTGTCCTTAGTCTTTTCAGCTCTAAGGAGCTTATAGAAGGACAATAGGAGTCTATAGATCCCTTGCAAGTGCATGCAGAAATTTCAGTGTATGTGTAAGCATATCGGCAGTCTTCTAAAGTGCATAATCCATGACTTTCATCAGATTCGCAAAGGCATCCATGAGCCAAAAATGAGTATGAATTACTTAGAGTTATGTAGCAACTCTACACAGAGACATTCTACATAACTAATATCATGTGGCAAGTGCCTTAGAACCATTATTCCTAAACTCCAACACAAAATTTTTAAGAATGCCCACATACTAAGGGTTGAAAGAAATATAATCAAGACTGAATATTCAGATCAAAAATATCTCCCATATTTTATTTCATAAGACATAATCATATTACTTTATAATTAAAAAGAATATGAGTCCAGAATACACCTACCAATAGAGACAGATACATTTTCTATTATACTCCACTCTTAAAACACTTGCTGTATGTCTTACTCTTTTCCACCATGATTAGAAAAAAAATGGTAAAATTACTTTTTTAATTCACTGTTCTTGATGAGTTCTTAGCATTCAAGAATACTAGAAGCTGGTCTTCTTTGAAAGTTCTAGCCCAAAGGAATGCCAGTTGTTAAATGTTTATTACCTTGTGCATAGTTTTTTACTTTTTTACATTTCAGTCTCCAGTAGACTGCAAGCACAGACTAAGAAATAGTGCATTGTCTCTCCTATAGCAGGATTTTCAAATTGCATACTATAACACCAGTATTTTTCAAACTGCAGGTTGTAATCTGTTAGTGAGTTTTAAAACCAATTAAATAGGTTGTAAGCAACATTTAAAAATTTAAAAATTAAAGCAACAGGATAATGTATAAAATAATAGCAACTCACCATCTCTAATACCCAGTTAAGGTGAGGTACTGCTTTATGAAACTTATGTTGCAGTTGTATGAGCTGGGCTGCAACCCGTGATCAAATATTAGATTGCCTTGAAACATACCTTTTTAAAAAATATAAACTATTTCCTACTATAATTACAACCCTTTGTATATACACTAGTTGTTGTTCTATGAGCCCTTTCTTAACTCGTGCAAAGTAATATTCAATGCAACTATGCCTTTCTATCATGAGACTCACAAAACATAAAACACCATGTCTCACAAAGATCTTTCAGTACGATGTTGACAGACAATGATGCTCAGGACACTGGCCCTTTGAACCTGATTAGAGAAGGCAGCTGCATCAGCTGTTGCTACCTGAACTGGTGGCCAGCCAATAGGAAAAACACCAACCCTGGTATGCTATTAAGGACTAAAGATAATTGCCACTTGAAAATATAAGAAAAAACTTAAGTTTCAACAGGAACAGATATTGGACTGAGAAATGTTAAAAAGGTCAACTGGGACTCATATCTAACCATCTGAACTCATGAACTGAATGAATGCATGATATGTTTGCAATTTGCCCTTTAAAAAGAAAGAGTACATAAAGAAAAGTAATTATGGCTCGATTAACAATTAGCTCAAAAAAGTAAATATTATATTGGGTATGGTGACACATGCCTATAATCCCAACAGTTTGGGAGGCTGAGGTGGGAAGAGTTCTTGAAGCCAGGACTACGAGACCAGCCTGGATACAAACTGAGGACCCATCTCTACAAAAATAAAACAATAAAAAAACTAAATATTAAAAAACAACCCAGAGATATAAAACTATTTCACATATCATATAAAAATGCCTATGTACTGGTAACAAAAAAAGATCTTAAATCAAAACACATTGATTAATAAAAGTAACCTTTAATCAAGCATTTACTAAATCAACTAGCATTATAGCTATGATCTCTGCAATGTATTAATTTTCTATGGTAGTATCTCTGATCTAGTTTAATAACTAGGTTCCAATCATACACATTAAATATCCATCACAATTACCTTAAACAGTGTAGCTGTTTCTGGAATTATTCCTCTAATTTTCACTTGGGGTTCTAAAGGCAAGGGGATAAGTTCCACGTCTGACAAATTCATCTTTTCATTATCTCCAAGCAATGCCTGTAGTCTCTCATTCTAAAACAAATTGGAAAGGATTATTGAGGTTAAAATGGAAGAGTAGTTCATAAAACATATAGTAAAGACATAAAAATTGATTCCATTAACTTAAAAATATTTGCAAAGCACCAGTGTAATATAAAGGAGATAGTTTGTATATGAGACGAGTACTTATAAATAATCCACCTAACAATAGCAGCAGCATGCTTTAAATGAAGGAATCCTTCGACTGTGAAAAGCTGAACTTTCACAGGAAGGACAGAGAATACGTTTCACTTGCTAAAGCTGACAAAGAATCAAGAATTTATTCAAGTTAGACCTAAAGATTCAATTTCTGTTTCCAAGGATTTGTGAAGCCACAGAGAGAACCTGAAATTTCATTTGACATTTAATTTTGCATGACCAAATAATAAGCAAAAACTTCATTACACTGCCCCAGTGCATTTTTTGAGTTTAAAGAGAAACTTGATTCACTTGAAGGAACTATAAGCCTACTTTCTAAGTTTCACTGAATCTGTATGGTCAAAGTTTTCCTAAGATATCATCATCATTCATTTTCTTCAGCTCATATACATAATGCATTAAGCTAACATTACAGAAACTGAGAAATCCAAGTCATGATGAAACAGTTTTATCATGAAGTAACATCTATACTATTTAGAAGAAGCCCTTCTATTCAATTTCAAAAGAACAATTTCCTTTAAAAGCTGGGAGAGTTCTGCAATCTTTAGCAGCAGAGCTTGCTCCCCTAAATAGGAGAGTTTGTTCTTTAAGATAGAAAACTCGACGTTGACAATTCCAGCAGCATAAAACACTTCAACTATAAGGCCACTGGGAAGTTGAAGTGCTTCGTGCTGCTGGGTACACCTCAAAGGAAAGAACTCTGGCATCAGTGAAAGACAGAAGTTCAGAAAAAAAAAATACGTTTCAAGGACAACCAAGATATAAAACAATTATTTCCCTTCTGTAATAATCCAATCTCTTCCTGGATGATGAAAAGTTTAAGTTAAAATCAACTGGTATGAATTTCTACATGAGTGTTACAAAAATCACTAAATCTACTCCTTAATTAAACGGATGGTCAGATCTACTAATGTCAAGTAATGTCAACTAAATCGAGAGTAAAGTTATCCTATCTTAACAAATTTCTAGTTGATGTGCTGATTAAAAAAATAAAATAACCAGAAAGTAAATAAGAATGGGGTGGGAAATCTAGCCATTTCTTCCCACCTCTACCACTATAAGCCCTAAGAACCCAACCACCATGATTTCTCATCTTGATTAATGCAATAGCCTCCTGATTACTCCTCCTCTTCAAACTTTTTGCCCTCTTACAGTTTCTTATCAAAAGTAACCAGAGTGCAGCTGCTAAAATGAAAGTCAGTTCATGTTACCCTTCTATTCGAAATCTCCAACAGCTCCTATTCTTACTCTGTTTCAGTCAAAATAATATTGACTATAATGATTTACAAGAATAAATTCCATCTATTTATCAATTATCTCTAACCTCATCTCCTATTACTGTACCCAATGCCGCTGCTCCAAATACACTGGGCTTATTCCTATTTCTCACAACTGCACACATGCTCCCACCTCAGGGCCTGTGCACCGCTGTTCCTCTGGCTGGAACTGGCTTGCTCTCTTACCTGCTTCAGGTCTTTGTGCAAATGTCAATTTCTCAGTGAGGCCTTGTCTGGCCACCACATTAAGAACTGAAACACTGCCTTACTACAGGACACAAGTACTGCCTATTTTCCCTTACTGTTTTATTTTTATCCATCACACATAACACTATCTACATTTTACTTATTTATTGCATTTACTCTCTTCAATAAGAATATAATTGCCATAAGGGAAGAGATGTTTATATTCACTGCTATATCCCAAGAACCTATACCTGGCATAGAGTAGGTATGCAATATATATTTCATAATTGTAGAACACCTAAAAGAGTAACATCCCCCTAAAGAATCATAAAGTGAAAAGAGACTACTTACAATATTAACAGTGAAAGTGTTGATTTATTTCAAATATAGATTGAAAAGATGGCCAGGCATGGTGGTTCACACCTATAATCCCAGCACTTTGGGAGGCCAAAGCAGGCAGATAACTTGAGGTCAGTTTGAGATCAGCCTGGCCAACATGGTGAAACCCCATCTCTACTAAAAATTAGCATGTGTGGTGGTGCACACCTGCAGTCCCAGATACCTGGGAAGCTGAGGCAGGTGAATTGCTTGAACATGGGAGTTGGAGGCTGCAGTAAACAGAGATCATGCCACTGCACTCACTGTAGCCTTCTTAAAAAAAGAAAAAAAGAAGTAGATGAAAAAGGCATTTTATTAGAATTCAAATATGCAGACTCAGACCTCTTCTAACAAAATTTTCCCTAAACTAGAGATCAAAAAAGGAAATACGGCAACAACAATATTATCGTTTTTTTTCACTCATCTGATACTTAATTCAGGGATTTCCTTGCCACAGATCTAACACCGTTGTACCCACTTATATAGCTCTCCCAAATAAATTATGAGGAATGAAAAAGTACTACATGTGATTTTACACGATTAGTGGTCATTTCATTTAGTGATAATGCCAATAATGGTAGTAGAGAGGTATCTCTGCATTTCTTCATTGTGTCAGGGCTGGTTTCTAGTAAATATATGTAAATAAAATTAAGTTTGTCTTTTACCATATCATGATAAAATGCCTATAAAGACTTTTAGCCAATATTCAGACTATATTTGGAAAGGTCTGACTTGAAATATAGGTTATGTGATGTAATCCCAGCACTTTGGGAGGCTGAGGTGGGCGGATCACCAGGTCAGGAGATTGAGAGACCATCCTGGCCGACATGGTGAAACCCGTCTCTACTAAAAATACAAAGATTAGCTGGGTGTGGCAGCACATGCCTGTAATCCCAGCTACTCAGGAGGCTGAGGCAGAAGCATTGCTTGAACCCAGGAGGCGGAGGCCGCAGTGAGCCGAGATCACACCACTGCACTCCAGCCTGGTGACAAAGCTATACTCTATCTCAAAAAAAAATGTGTTTGTGTGGTGTGTGTGTGTGTGTGTGATGTGAGAAACACAAAATTTATTTGGGGAGGACTCTAAGTGATGTCTCAAATAGGTGGTCAGCTAGCTAAATCTGAGTTGTTGCCAAGGTTCCTGTGTCTGCTGAATTGAAGAGCTCTTGGCACTAAAACAAACTGGTTTCAAATATAAGCCCCAAACTGCACATCAGAGCAGCAGACATTCCCTCTGCAGGTGAGCATTTGGAGATCACACTGCTTCTCACACAGGCACCTTTGGGGAGAGGTGCTACAGGGGGAACAGCAGTAGAAATGTATTTATTTGACCAAGGTTTACGATTCCTCTCAACAGCAAAGAAAATGCCAACTCAACAGAACTGTATTTCCTCTCAGAGTGTTTTCCACTCTCTAACCTGCTGAGCATTACTCATTACTCCTTCTATGTATCTCTGCTAACATTTCTCTTTAGACCTGATTCTTTGCTTTTGAACCACTGACTCAAATCTTCATATTTTCCTCCTCTCTCTGCTTTCCTTTAAAATTCTGAAGAATAACAGTGAAATGTGTTGTTTTGTTTTACAAAGGTTACCAAGGAAGACTTGCCAATTAATTATCTAATGGAATTAGGAAAAGATATCAAGTGAATCCTTCTTATCATTTAGGCTATGATCAGAAAAAAATGACATGAAGAACAGATACTCATTTACTTCTACCCATCAAGTGGAAGCCTCATAGTTGAGAGAAAGACTGGTGGACCAGCCAGGAAAGAACAGATACACAGTTAACGCTGTTACTAACAATCAGTTCTGAAACCTTGGGCAAGTCACTCTGGACTTTGATTTTCTCAGAAGAATTCTAGTCTAAATGATCTCTAGAGATTCTTTCCATATTAAATATATTGTATATTCTAATTTGCTAAGATTCTAAAATGAGAGGTGGTAAAGCACTGTGGACTAAGAATGTCTAAGTACAAATCCCCACTCCAATATTTACTAGCTGTATGACTTATGATACTAACAAATTACTTGACCTGTCTTTGCTGCCTTCTCCTCACAATTGGGAAAATAATAGCTCCTAGGGTTGTTATGAAGATTAAATATCATATCAACATATGTAAACTCACAAAACATTCCTATTACTATAAATTCGTAAGAAGTTCACATATCAACTCAAAAAGACAATAGCAAATGTTCAGCACTTTATGATGCCAAGATGCTATTAAGTTATGAACAAAAGCATACATCATAGGCTTACCTTTTTCTTACGATTTCCACTTTCACGTTGTACTGCCTTCATTAGATGCACCAACCGATCTACAAATGTCTGTTGTGCAGCCAGCAAGGAACGCATAACTCTGACAGACTTATCACCCTGAAGGGTTCAAAGTAAGAAAAATTAGTTCTATGTAGCATAGTGGTCAGGGTTTCTTTAATAGCATGGATAATCTTTATTTCTATTTCTCATAGCTGTAAACCTGATTAAAAAGCAAAGTTGAAAAAGATTAATGATCTTGATTCAAAAATAACAAGAAACCCCCTATCTTAAACACCACTAATCCATCCATAACCAAAAATTATCTGAGTCTTCAGCAAATATTGGTCTAACTACAACAGCAATTTTTTCTCACATAAACCATGTGACAAGATAGAATTTATTTATCCTAAAATACGTTCATTCATTATTTGAGTAAATAAGTATCTGACAGCTTATGATCCAGCAATGTGCTGGGCATATACATATAGCAAAAACTAAGACATAGGTCTTCAAGAAACTAAAAATCAACTTAAAAAAAAAAAAACAACTTCAAATAGAACCATGATATGTGCTTAAAATATAAGTAATAAAAACTAAATGCTATACAGTCTTACGTAGTGATTCCTAGTTCATAAAAAATTATAAAACATATTTATAATTTAATCTTCCCAATTACCCTGGTAAGGGAAGCTGGGTAAATGTTATCATCCTCATTTCAAAGATGAGGAAATTTAGGCTTAAAGAAACTGAAATGTCTTCACATGGTGACAAAGGCTGTGACAGAAACAAGAATAGAAGAGAGGACCAAGGGCTTATTTGGCAATCAGTTTGATGTTGAGAAGCTCTGAGAATTAATACAAAAGCTTAGTCTCAAAGTGTTTAAGATGTGATTTAAATTTTTAAGAGCATAAAACATAAAACAGATGAAAATGACATGAAATAGAATATTTCTGCAGCAAGTCACAGATTAATGTGTGGCAGCTTTCTTTTCACTGCCCTTGCACCCTCTGCTGGCTGAACTGTGACACTGCTTTAAGAATCAAAAGAACACAGGAAAGATAAATCTCTTTTAAAAGCTGTTGAAAAAGCAAAAATATGTTATATAAAAAGTATCTGCAATATGGCCATTGCCAGATTTCTGGAAATGTACATAGCCTTGATAAAAAAGATATAAAATAGAAAGGAAAATAAGACGCAAAGCTTTATTCTTTTTAATTCCATGTATAGGTTTATTTCATTAAATCAGGGATCAAATAAACTTCCGTAAAGGGCCAAAGAGTAAATATTTTAGATCTTCTTGGCCTCACAGTTTTCATTCCAATTATTAACTCCTATTCAGTACAAAAGTAGCCATAGACAACATAAAAACGAGAATGATTACTGCAATAATTTATGAACACTAAAATTTGAATACCACATTCTATTCCAGTAATTCATTTATGAACACTAAAATTTGAATTCCACATAATTTTCATGTATCACAAATTATTCTTCTTCTTTTGATTTTTTCAACCATTTAAAAATATAAAAACCAGGCTGGGTATGGTGGCTCATGCCTGTAATCCCAGCACTTTGGGAAGTAGATGCAGGTGGATCACCTGAGGTCAGGAATTCGAGAACAGCCTGGCCCAACATGGCAAAACCCTGTCTCTACTAAAAATACAAGATTTAGCTGGGCATGGTGGCAGGCACCTATAATCCCAACTACTTGGTAGGCTGAGGCAGGAGAATCTCTTGAACCCGGGAGGCAGAGGTTGCAGTGAGCTGAGATGGCAGCACTGCACTCCAGCCTGTGTAATGGAGCAAGACTCTGTCAAGCACACAAAAACAAAATTAAATTTAAATAAATATAAAAACATTCTTACTTCATGGGATGTTCTAAAACGCAAAAGGCTGAAAATGGCCCATGTACTGGAGTTTGCCAACCCCACATTTAGTGGTTACCTTCAACAATGCTTGGCTGAATCTTCTCATTACGTTCAAGTACATTTCATGGGTCTTTGGATCTCTCTGCTGAGTATCTTGATCTTCACATTCCACTATCACATACCTTAAAAATATGTTTCAGTCATTCATGTGATATGAAATTAAACTCAGATTCATTTGGTAAATACTCATACCATTTTACTAAAACAGATTAATTTACATATGCAAAAATAATGAAATTGGAGTAATAAAACATTTTATCATCACTTTTAACAATGAAAAGTTAAGGAGCAACACATACAACCATCTCAGGAGGCTGAGGCAGGAGAATTGCCTGAACCCAGGAGGTGGAGGTTGCCATGAGCCGAGATCGTGCCATTGCACTCCAGCCTGGGTAACATAAGCGAAACTCTGTCTCAAAAAAAAAAAAAGGTAAACTAATAGTAATGCCTTAATTTGTGTAATATCCCAAATTTTCTAAAACTTTTACCACCAAAAGCATTTTCTCCTATTTAGGAGATTCTTAGAGTATTAACATCTTCAGAAATCATCTACGCTCACATATTTACTGAGTAACTCGAGAACAAAAACTATGGTTTTCATAACCTGTGTAATACTTCAGTATCACACACGATTCTCTTATTCTGAAAACCACTCTGAAATTATTGCTTTCACTAATACACTTTTGAAAGATGAATAAAATTTTAAGTAATTTGTCCTTTCCCATCCAGTTTCCTGTTTCTCAAAGATCCATATGTAATCTTTAACTTTCCAATTAAAAAACTATGGTTTTAGAGAGTTAAAGACATCTTAAATGTTTCCTTAAACCTAATCTGCTTATACAATTACAAAACTCATATAAGCAATGATCTGGGTAAGATTTTATAGGTCTTCTAACCTGGTGTTTCTAAATGTTCCACTGGTGTTTCTAAATGGACAAACCAAAACAAATAACAAGTTGGGCATGGTGGCTCACACACCTATAATCCCAGCGTTTTGGGAGGTCTAGACAAGAGGATCACTTGAGGTCAGGAGTTTGAGACCAGCCTCTACATTTAAAAAAATAAATAAATGAAAATAAGCCAGGTATGGTGAAACTGCCTATTCCCCCAGCCACTAGGGAGGCTGAGGCGGGAAGATAGCTTGAGCCCAGGTGAAGCTACAGTAAGCTATGATCATACCATTGCACTCCAGCTTGGGCAACAAAGGGAGATGGTATCTCTTAAAAAAAAAAAAAAAAAGTATCACAACTTGAGAAAAAAGAAGAAAACAAAAACGAAAAAAAAAATAAAGTTCTGAAGGCTGGGAAGATTAAAAGAAAAAATAAAACAACTTGATACAGCCACACACGTACACAGATGCATAAAACTGAAAAGTTTCACAAAGCAATATCCTGTGAACAATATGTTAATATTTGCTATTCTGTTTATTTCACTTTTCTTTAAATAACAAATGCTAGACTGTGAAACTTTAAATTGCTTTCAGTAGATCATGATGATGTGTAGTTTGAAAACCATCAATCTCGATCAACTTGCTTGCTTTATCAACAGTGAAACTTAGAGAGGCTATGTCTTATCTATGGTGGTATGACTGACTGTAAAGCTGAGATAGAAACCCAGGACTTTGGTTTCCCAGGTCAGACTTTTTTTGATTTTACTAAGTTGACTTTCACACTGTTGTATCTTTAAAATACATATGAAACTTTGCAACCTTCTTAACTGATAATGTATCCCAAATCTCAAGTCACAGAGGCTTATTATTATCCTTTCTACTATTTCTGGGAAAGAATAGACTCTGTATTCAGCCTTTCAGACAGTCAATTTCATGAGCAGAGGATATTTAGCCATTCAGATGATCACTTCATGAGAGCAGAGGACTTATCTGTCTTGTTCTCCACTATACCTTCAGCACATCTATGTCTGGCTTATAATAGATGCTCAATACATTATTAATATATTACTGTTATTGAATGAGTAATTCCATTCTTGTGGATTTAGCTCCTATCTCATTAATAATTTTCAAATATAAAATATATTCCTTTTTTACATGATTTAATTCTAATTTCGAATTCCATTACGTGACCTGCTTTCACATTCATCCACCCTAATTTTCAAAGAGCACTTCCCCTTTCCAAGACACTGCTTGTCATTTCTAACTGAAGATGTGGAAAACCAAACTTATCACATTAAATGGATCTTTTTCTACCTCTTTTGAAGGGACTACCAATATCCCAGGCATTTGGACTAGGAATTCTCACATAGCAGGGTTCACAAACTCAAATTTTCTCGAAAGTCAGGCAGGAAACAAATGTTTGAATCACTTAAATAGAAGGAGAGAGAGAGGTGGGGCTGGAGGCAAACCAGAGAACACAGCACTACCTAAAACTTTCTGTGGCAATCAGTTCAATCTGTGATCCATTAATCTAAAGCCAAAGTAGCTCACATTCCCCCATCTCAGATACACTCAATTAGCCCCCTGACCTCGCTGATTTTTCCTATTAAATGACTCTTAAAATGGTTCTGTACTCTACAGTCCTATCTGGAATCAAAATGCCAATACCACTTCCCTGCCCTCTCTAACTCTAAAAATAAATTACATATTGTTTAATACAATCATCCTAAATTTTTCACCTTTAAAATAGCTTCATCATGTCCCATCTATATTAACAAAAACATCAATGGTTCTCCCTTTTCTACTATTTTAAAACAGTTTCTATGGCCCCAACCTTTGGTTTCAAATTTCTACTATCCCCTATGGCCCCAAGCTTCGGTTTCAAATTTCTGCTATCCCCCATTTATGCACTCACATTCCAGTCAGGTCAATCCCCTACTACTCCTACTCCACAGACACCTACTGTGTGCTTCGGCTTATGCTGCAGTGCTATCCAGAAATACCTTCCACATCTCTCCATCTTTCCATATTCTACCCATTCCTCAAGCATAGGTGACAATCTCTCGATTCCAGGTATCTTCATAGACCCTAACAAATTCTTCCTTCTCTGTTTCCTAGAACAGGCATAGTTTCTCACACAACTTGTGGTGATAACCTTTCCTGCTTGTCACTGTTTCACGTTTAACTCTTACTTAACATTTCTTCAAAGGTTATAATGAAACTGATGCCAGGTGCCGTATCTTAAAAACTTTCAGTATCCTCTAACACATCTGATACAGTCTCTCTTAAAGGTTGATAAAATAAGGGCCTTGCCCTTCCTGCTTCCTAATGGAATGCTTTACCATGATAATAACATGTTCTAGCAGTCCTAGAATCACATAACCCAGAATTTTCTGTAAAGTAGTATGAAAAGCCGAACTCATCATATCTACCATATCATATTCCCAACAAAAGTTCTAAATCAAAAATTCAGGAAGACATTGTTGTATCTTGAATCAAGAACATCTTTTAGAAATTAGAACAGGCTGGGCACAATGACTCAAGCCTATAATCCCAGCACTTTGGGAGGCCAAGGCAGAAGAATCACTTAAAGCCAAGAGTTTGAGACCAGGCTAGGCAACGACAGCGAGACCCTGTGTCTACCAAAAATTTAAAAATTAGCCAGGCATGGTGAGTGCATGTCTACAGTCTCAGCTACTCAAGAGGTCGAGGTGGGAGGACCACTTGTGACCAGAAATTAGAAGGTGACGTGAGATGTGATCACACCACTGCACTCCTACCTGGGTGACAGAGCAGGATCCTGAAATGAAAGAAAGGAAAGGAAAATAAAAAAAAGAAAAAGAAAAAAAGAAAAGGGAAGGAAAAAAAAAGGAAAGGAAAGGAAGAAAGAAAGAAAAAAGAACTTTTAGAGCCACTGCTGGACATATTTGACTATTTAAATTAAAATAAAATCAAAATTACATTTCTCGGTTACATTACCTTTTTTTTTTTTTTTTTTGAGACAGACTCAGCTCTGTCTTCAGGCTGGAGTGCAGTGGTGTTATATCAGCTCACTGCAACCTCCATCTCCTAGGTTCAAGCGATTCCCCTGTCTCAGCCCCCTGAGTAGCTGAGATTATACGTGCATGCCACCATACCCAGCTAATGATTTTTAGTAGAGACAGGGTTTCACCATGTTGGCCAGAATGGTCTCGATATCTTGACCTTGTGATCTGCCCACTTTGGCCTCCCAAAGTACTAGGATTACAGGTGTGAGCCACTGTGTCCAGCCCAATTATCAACATTTCAAATTCTCAATAGCTGCATACATAGATCCGGAAATGATTTCTATCATTTTTGTCACTACAGGAAGTTTCCAGGTAATTAACTAAGAGTAACTACAAAACAAGTTCATATTTCCTATGTATGGTATTCCAGAATGTCTGGTCATTTCAGGACAATACCGAAGAATGTCAAAAAACAAAAAGCAGCAGTTCTAAACTCTGAAACTATCAATATGGTCTTATTCAAATCCATCCATCTCCTTCTACCCTTTAGTTAAAGTCCTGATTGTCCCCATCACCTTAGGGTACGCAGTGTCTTTTCCTGTGTTTAGGCAGCAAACTTACTTTCAAACGAACATACAGAAGACCACAATGAATGGGCCTATTGCTGTGTCCTGGTCTTTCTGACCATCAAGTAAACACTATCACTGCAGTTATTTCCAAAAAAAAAAAAAAGAAAATATACATTGATGTTCATGATAAGCATCAAGTGTCGAACATTTCTCAAAAATCATTCAAGCCAAAGTTCTATGCAAAGAACAGGGCCATCTAAAAAAAAATGACACTGTCATCTCCAAATATGAGAGACAAAGTTAGCTATCAAGCCTAGAAGACCTAGATTTGAATCATCCCTGAGGTTTCTGTTCACGTCAATAAACTAGATTCTACAAAACACTCTAAGGTATTTCTTTGAAAGCTGTCATCTTAAAGTAGGAATGCAAACAAAATTGTCCAGGTACCCATTATAAGATGACATCAGCAGGCTACCTGTTTCCTGGCAATTTTATTTTGTGGAGTAAATAACCTTTATTACCTTGAAAGGTCTTAAAAGTTACAGAAAACATGTCAAAGCATCAAAAGTTTACTTTCAATTTCAACACCCTAGAATGGCTATAAAAATAAAAAACTGCAACGATTTATAGATTCTGATGCCCAACATTTTACAGACTGGAGACTGTAACTCCCTTCTGTGGCTTAAAAGGTTGACACTATTCATTTTAAAAGGATTGTCTGCACAACTATAGGCCCCTAAGGATTTAGCTACAGCAAGAATCCTGTTTAAATCACCAGAAAGGGAACAAATGAAAAAAGGAAATTCATATGTTCAAAGAAAACAGCACAATCAATTAAAATTTGTATTTTAATACATTTGTTATAATAGAGTAGGCTTAGAGAGGCATTTAAATTCTTACATTTTACTATTTTTATATGTTCAAAGGAAAAGAAGAATGATCATTTTAAACCAACTATTTGAAATTATTTCCTATATTGTTACCTTACATTCACAAAAGCTGTGTCTATTAAAGGCAAGAATTCACACATCAATAGCTTTTCTCCCCATGAGTATTTCTGAATATGTAATAGGCAGACTGTAAATATGGGAAAAACAATTACTCCTTAGGGAATGAATAGACACAGCATATGCTATTGATTCAATGAATCAAAGATATAGTGGGAAAACACAAATCAAATCTAAGTCTGAGTGAATGTTTATAAGACTGGGAACTGGGGCTGCACTTTATTTATAGAAAAAACAAAGTGTGCTCCTTATGAAAAGAAACAGCTGCTATGTTGGAAACTGTTCATCTAATAGCTTTCCTACTATTTGGCTGCTTTCAGAAAATTCTTCCTACTTAAAATAAGAGATCAAAGATTCTATTAAAACTCATTTCAAATTTAATAATAAAACCTGGTCTACAATCAAAAACAAAGAATATGTAACTTGAAAGCTTCACATAATCAGTATATATAAATATAGCTCTTACAATAGCGAATATTCTTGACTATAAATTCTGAGCCAGAGAAAAGTTTTTGTAAATGTTGAAAGACAACAAAAATACCTGTAAATGAATTATTCGCAAATGATTCTAAAATACATAAGATTATAATTTAAAAATACCTAAGAAGTTTAGAAATACTTATGCAAAAACTCAGCAACATACCCCACAAGTATTTTTTCTCTTCACTTCCTTTTAAATATTTAGATTTCCATAAGAAAATATTTTTTTCATAAGACTAGTGAATAGACACCCTGAATACACACCCTTAAGTATTCAGATTGGAACAGAGAAAATTAGCGGCAAAAGGTGACATTTAAAGAAGATAGTAGTAATTTGACAATATGAGAATTCTAAGTAAACTTTTCAAAGAAAAAATAGTGATTAACAATTAGCCAAAACTTCCTGTATTTTCAAGGACATAATGAAATTTCAGGTGAGGAAAATGCAGTTTTATGAATATTATATTAAACTGCTAAAGTAAAAGCGAGAAACTATTGTTTTTCCCACTACGGAGGCCAACAGGAAAAAACAAACAGCAACCACCAAACACAGGTTCCAAAGGGGGAAAAAAAAATCACTGATTTATTTAAGATTGTTGACAATGGTTTTTCTTTGTTGCAAAGAGAACCATCAAGGCTTAAACTAAACAAATATTTACTGTTTATGTAAATCAAAAACTGTGTTTCTTCAAAGAGTGCTCCAATTTAGTTACCTACTTCTTAGATACAGGGGCAGGACCCAGCAGAGCATTACCTTTGGAGAGTGGGAGAATGAAGTCATGGCTGGATGTGACCCACAAGGACAGCTTTCCCAATCCAAACTTAAAACAAAATAGTTTGTGTAGTTTTCTCACAAAAACCAAAATACCTCATTATTATTCAAAAATACTGGTTTAGCATCTTTTAGACAAAATACTTGGAATGAGAAGTGTCTTGGATTTATAGTGTTTTGTGTGTTTTTGGATTTTTGAATATTTGCATTATACTTAGCAACTTAAATTCAAAAATCCAAAATCTGAAATGCTCCAAAGAGCATTTCTTTTTCACTTCATGTCAATCCCCACAGAGTTTTGGATTTTGGAGCATTTCAGATTTCAAATTTTTGGATTTGGGATGCTTAATCTGCAGTGAGCTTTCACAATAGACATTATTAATTTGTAATTTGTTTAAGGCTAAAAATTGAGCAGTAAGATTAGATCAGATCATTTCTACAGTAAAAAGTCCCATGACAAGAAATTTAAAAAGTGATTAAGTAGTTTTAAGGATTCTCCCAAAGGTACAGCAAGCTTTACGTAGGTCTTACCCACCTAGCTTTGCCCTTTGTTTGCTCTTTAAAACTAGATAAGGCCCTCTAATCCTAGCACTTTTTTTATTGAAGCAAAATATTTCTGATTGTGGCTTAAGCTTCTTGTCTTCTTCTCTTCAGGATTCAGTAGCAGATAAAGGTGTCTCAGGAAGTCAGTTAGCCACTCTGTTCCTCAGTTTCTCTCTTTCCTTCAACTGACCCAGGACATTGTTTTAATGCAAAACAGAGATATTTATACTTGCCCATTTAACTTCACAGAAATGAATGAGAAAAGGTCACTGAAAGTCCTTGAAAATGTCAAAGCAGTAGACAAATGATTCAGTCCAGGATCAAGGTCTACCAAGTTCAGCTACAGCAAGCCTTTGCCTCAGTTTCTTCGTGTTTAAAATGTCAGAAGGTAATTTTAATTCCAACTTCTTTTTAAATGATTCCAATGTTTTAGTAAATAATGTGAAAATATACATTCCTGAAGAACTGTAAGATATCATACTCAACTACTACATGGCAAACTGAAAGTACCCATTTCCCTCTCCAGTTATATCCTAGCTCCTGGAAAGTCAGTGAAAGGGTGAGAAACAGTGGTGCCAACAAGCATTTCCGAGAACCCAGCTGTCATGGAATAAAGCTAGATATAAATACTGTATCTAGACTTTTGAGGATGACGCAAATATTATTTTAAATTGTCTTTGTGTTTACGGCATGAGAAAAAATAATTCTTAAGGGTAATAAGAAAATAAACAAAATCATTTTCACATACCAGTATAAATAATTAGCCAGTGTTGAGTTTTTGCAGGCTCTCGATATCAAGAAGGTACAGAGATCTTGCTGAAAGAATTAAAAGAAATGTATTATATTTTACCAGCTACAATTAATGGGGCAAAATAAGTAAGTCTACATTTGCCTATGTTTCATCTGTATATCTTATGTAACAGATCAGATTTTCTGCCATCTATCTATCCTTACGTACATACATATAAAAACATTTGAAATCAGACAGCATACAAGTGGTTAGCAAACCAGAGTTCAGAGAACTCCTTGTCCTCCTTGAGCTTCATATTTGGGAGAGGAGAGAGACAACAAAATGGTCATAGAAATATTTTAGGTTGGGAAGTTTTAAAGGCAGCAATGAGTACATGACATTCAGGCAAGACCAAAATGACATTAAAAAGCTCTAAGTTTGGCTTGTTCAAGGAATTTAAAGTAATGTAAATAAAATATAGTGAACACTAAATAGACTGAAAAGCTGGCAAAGGTCAAAAGTATGTGAGACCTTTAAGGTCACACTATTATTGAGTATGGCTTTTATTTAAAAGCAATGGATAACCAACAAAGGACCTTAACAGGAGAATGAGATAATGTGATTTACATTTTATGAAAATGACTGGTTGTCCTGTGAAGTACAGACCTGAGATCAGTTAAGATGCTATTCCAGTAGACTTGAAGAGTAAATAATGAGAGTAGAGATGGTGAAAAGGCAACAAATACAAGAAATATTCTGGAAGTATAATTAACGGGACAGCTGCTGGTGGAGAGGAAGTAGGAAGGCAAGAACGGAACTGATAATAACTCCCAAATTTCTGGACTGATTTGTCATGGCACAAATGGAAATTTCAGAGTAGGAGCTGCCTTATCTATAGAGTGAGAGGAAAGAGTTGTATTTTGAAATATTAAGTCTAAACTGCCTGTCAGATATACAATGGAGACCAAATACATGTTTGGATACATGAATCTAAAATTTGGGTGAGCTAGAAATATACATTTGAGTTTATTAGCACAACTCAGGGCAAGAGTATCAAATGAAACTAGCAGCGGACCCTGAGGAACATTAAGATGTCAAGGAGAGGGGAAAGTGCTGACAAAGGAAACTGAGAAGAAATGGCAAGAGAGATGAAGAGAAAAATAAGAGACACACAGTGTCATCTAAACCCTGAAAAGAGAGTTTTTCAAGAAGAAAATTATTTACTTTATTGACTATTCTAAAGAAGCTGAAAAGAATGTGCAACCAAAAACATTATAGCCATTTATTAACTTAGCAAATTAAGTTTTAGGCAAAAGCCAGAATGATGTGGATTAAAGACTGCAAAGAAGGAAGAGTATGCACAAACAACTCCTTCGATAAGGGAAGTAAGAAAACAAGGTGCTGTTTCAAGCGATGTGCTCTCAAGGGAGGACATCATTTGTTTTTCTAAATTTTTAATATGGAAAGTATTTCTGTCAGGAAAAGAAAATAACACATCTTTGAGGAGAGTTACATTTCTTCTGTGCAAGAAAACAGAAAAAAAGTATGGGGAGTGATTCATGTCTACAAAACTAGTGATGAGAAAGAGACCATTCTTACCTAGTGGTTTCTATTGTTTCCATTAAGTATGAGGCAGAATTGTCATCTGGAGATTGGGAGGCGGGGCATAAAGAACAGAATGGAAATGGTAGGAAAAATCACTGCAGAGCAGGAAGATCAACACGTCTAGGGAAATGTAAGATGGCAGAGAGCAGTGAGTGTTCATCTGAGGTTTGTGATCATGAATTTATAGTGACACCAACATGCTATGTGTTTTTCTTCAGCAATATTCAGGCATAGCAAAAGTGGGTAATTAATTAGGCTTTTCAAGAGTTGTTATTTTTGCCAGGGGAACTACAGGTACAAATAAAAGAATAACTAAAATGACAGCCATGGGATAAAAGCTAGCTTCAGAGGAAAGCAAATACTGAAAAGAGCTGATGAATAATGAAAAGGGTAGGGATCAATGGATTAGAACTTTTTATGCAGTAAATGCAGTAGGTAGGTGTCCTTTCTTAAGCTAAGTCCAAGTAATAAGAGGTTGCTATTAGAAAGTAGATGTGCCAATGCTTTCAGTAAGAATTTTATCTCCGATTTTAAAGCTTAGGTGTACATTTAAAATATGAAACAGAAATACAATTTTAAAAACTCCTCAATCAGAAAGCCATTGTGTAAAGCTGAATCCATGAGTTCATACAGGCAGAATACAGGCCTAAAGTTTCTCTTTTGACTATATGACAAGAACATTATACTTTTGTATAGTGATGTATATATTTTAATAGAAAACATGTTTCATTTCATACTATGCCTTTTTGATATAAAAATTCCCTATAGAACATAAACAAAGAAAAGTTGAATTAATTGTGAAGCAAGAAGTATGTATTGTAAATGTCAAAACTCAATTTGAGTAATCAATACTTTAAGATTTTAAAACAATTTGAAGAAAAAAATGCTTTATAAAAAAAGATAACATATTGTAGGTCAGAGACATAAGAAGAAATGGTGAGGAAGGTGTAGGTATCCTTCATGAAAAGTATCTCTAAATATTTACTGAGTGTATACAATAATAACAATAATATTATCAAATCTGGAGAAAGTTAAATAACAAGACGGGGTGGAGTAAGGCAGAAGGATTTAGCCAATGATGGGCAAGAACATTAAATTTATACATAAAAGAAAGTATAGAAAGTACTACATAAGATGGTAAAATAAGTCAAAATAGAGCTAAAATCACAATAAAAGCAAATGGGTAAAAGTTCCAGTTATAAAACAGAATGTTAAACTAGATTTAAAAACAAAATGTAGCTACCTGGTATTTAGAAGAGACCTAAATATAAACATAAACCTAAAATATAAGAACATAAAAAATTCAAAGGAAAACATCAACAAAGGCAACAAAAATATTGAAAAGGTCAACAAGAACACTAATCAAGACAAAGCTCTATTAGCATCAGACGATACAGACTTTAAGATGAAAGCATTATTAGATATCAAGAAGGTTACCAAACAGTGATAAAATATTCAATTTAAATACTTAAAGAGCTTCAAATATTTAAAGCAAATAGTAACAGAAATACAAGAAGAAATTAATAATTCTACCAACATACAGGGGAATTTTACCCTGATTCTTTCATGGATAATGAAAAAAAAAAAAAAAAGTCAGGAATGAGTAGATTTCAGTAACACTATTAACAAGCCTGCTCTAATAACATAGGTACAATGCTACACCCAACAGCTAGGAAATACACCTTCTTTTCAAGAACCCATGGAATTAATAAAACATGAGCATATCTGGGCAATAATTGAGTTTCTGACTCCTTTAAAACATTTGGCCAGACATATATAATGTTCTTCTGAAACTCCAAGAGTAAAATGAGGAAGGTCATAAGACACTGCTCAGGTGTCAAGAAGGAGATGTTGGTATCTCAAGTTGTGGTAAGAAGAGAGGTAATTCAGCTTGGTTGTAAGGTGAGAATGGCTTGTACAATATATTCTGTGGGAGCAGGGGAAGGGATAGGGGAAGACAGAAAGATCTCAAAATGATTGCCACTCTTTTCTGGATACCTGAACCCTTTAAAAAACTATTCAGCTGATAAAAAGTTAAATGGTTTAATCACTGACTAGTAACAGATAAGTTCATCAGTCATAAGAGAAACATCAGAAATATATAAAAACTACCATTATTTTTAGCCTAAAAGTTGTGAGTGGTAGGCGGAGTGTAAAACAATATTCTGAACACAGCTTTCAGAATCCAATCACTTCACAGCATCTAGAATGTAAATCACCCTTGTTCAAGCTACCAACATGGAAAACTCATTCAGACTAATGGCCTACAATCCCTACACAACTGATATCCACTTCTCTCTTGGACCCAGTCTTCTGCCAGGTTCTCTTTGCTTACTACCCCGCCAACCAGGCACACTAGCATCTGTTGTTCCTCAAACATAAACACTTAAACTCTGGTCTTAGGACCTCTATACTTACTACTCCCTCTATCTGAAATGCTCTTCCCCAGGTTGTTCCCTCACCTGCTTCACTTTTAGAGGGATGTTACTTGTTTAGTAACATCTGCATCAACCCCAGCATGTAGAACAGTTCCCCTACATATTAAGAGCTCAAAAAATGTATGTGAATGAATGAATAACTGAATCAACCAATCAATATCTTGGCTTTGAAAGGGAAAACTTAAGACTGTAGCAGATTGGGTTCTTAAAGGGCTTATCTAAGGATTCTATGATTCTGTGATTTAAAAATTCTTATTTCAGTTGAATATGAATAGTTTGTTATACCAAGAGATATGCAAACATACAAACTTTAATCAATAGCTAATAGTTAAAAATTTTTTACCACTATTAACATTAACTCCTAAAATCTGACTAAAAACAATATATATACACACACTGAAAAATCACATGAACTTTTCTAATATTAAAACATGTCACTTGTTTTCAACATCAGAGGTGCTAATGATTTCTTTTAAATTATAAGTCTCATAGACAAATTTAAAAATATGTACTACATCAGCTTCTGCAATGCACTTTCCAAAGCACTGTTCAGAGCAATACTGGTCTAACAGGCCTGTTTTATCTAAAAAATGTGTCTTTCTTATATGTATAGTTAAAAAGTTGCTTAGTGTATTATCTCTAACATCAAAGTCATACATTTCTACAATGTAATCACAAGCACTGACAATTACAGAAAGGATCATGAATACACTGACAGTAAATATTCTGAGTTTCCCTAATAAAATATTTAAGCCTTGTTTATTTTCATATTGCATATGAATCCATTTATATGCCCAAAGCACCAATAAAATGAATTGAGGACTATCTGGCACTTTATGCTTAGGGAAAAAGTCATAAACATGCATCATAAAGTAAGTTATTTAATAAAGTTGTAACATTTAGTTATTTAATCAAAACTGAGGTTTTAAAGACAAGCATAAAATGTTTACGCAGTAGAATCTCTCCTATAGGAAGCTGGAAAAGCTTTGTACTCACTTCCAGATTTTCACCATCTGGAACTTCTTTTGTTTTTGATGCAGGAGGAGGTGAAGAGACTGGAGGAAGGGGGCTGGTTATAATTTGGGAGCTGAAAAAATAGTAAAAGAGATCACTGAGATGTATAATACTCTGTCCATAAGAAAAGACACATTTTTTTAAGCACAGTTCACTTCAATTGTGTCTGGTTAATGCAACACTTCCTAACGTGTGTTCTGTGCAACACTAGAGTCACATTGTACTCTGGAAAAAGACCATGGTCAAAGATTATGGGTAATGCCTCTTGGGAGATTTATGTGCAAGTCTGCATATTAAAGGTTTTGATAAGTGCTGTTTATTTGTTTAAGTCCATTTAGCTTCAAACCAGCATTTCCCAAACATATCTGACCAACATTCCCTCTTTTTTATCTTTTTAAAAAGAAAATAAAGCTTTAAAAACAAAAAAACTTCAAAAAGAATCACACAAAGTTAGTGACTAGTAGACTGTAAGTGGGAAAAGACAGTTATAGTTTTTACCCCGTCATAAAATTCTGAATAGACTTTACTCATAAAACATTCTACATGGCACAAGGATGAAAGTAAATAAGCAAGACTTGAGACTGAAGACCTCCAATATAGAGTAGGAGAAAATATAAAGAGCATCTTCTCTTAAAAACAGAAAAATATAAAGCAGCCAGGGAAAGAAAAATTCTTTTTCCTCCTTTTCAGTTCTTCTCCAAATACAACACACAACATAAAGCATAGCATAACCAAATCATAAACAAGAATTCAAAAATCCAATCTTGAGGTTATGTAATAATTGAAATGACTGGACTGATTCAGAAAGTCTAAAATGTGGACCTAGTTTTGTCAATAACAAACCTGATGGTCTTCGCAAAACCATTTTATATCACAAAAACGTCAGATTTTGCACCCAATAGTTACTATTTTTTTCAAGTTTTAAGATTTTCTGAAAAGCAAAAAGTAGAAAAAAAATGTGCTTTGGATTCAACTTTACCATTTGCAAAATACATAAGATTTTGGGCAATTTACTTACCTGGTTAAGCCCTTCATCTCTAAATTAGGGATATGAATACCTACCATAGAGAACAATTGTAACAAGACGATGTGTGTGAATAAGCTGGTACCGTGTTAGATACACATTTGGAAACTCCTAATTGTTATACTTTTAGCTAACTCCTAATAGCTAACTTTTAATTCAAATAATACGATATTATCTTTAGTATAACTACTAATGAGGTGTAAACAGCTCATTTTAAAAATGCAACTTTTTTATTAAAATATTGGAGCTCACCCTATGCCCCGTCCTTCCATTTCTTTCTTTTTTTTTTTTTTTTTTTTTTTTGAGACAGAGTCTCACTCTGTCGCCCAGGATGGAGTGCAGTGGCACAATCTTGGCTTGCTGCAACCTCTTCCTCCTGGGCTTAAGTGATTCTTCTGCCTCAGGCTCCCGAGTAGCCGGGATCACAGGTGCGTGCCATCATGACTAGCTAATTTTTTTGTATTTTTAGTAGAGAGGGGTTTCACCATTGGCCAGGCTGGCTTTGAACTCCTGACCTCAAGTGATCTGCCCGCCTCAGCCTCCCAAAGTGCTGTGTTTACAGGCATGAGCCATCGCACCTAGCCCCTTCCATTTTATTTTAACATAAGTAAGTAATAGTAGCTAACGCTTACTGAGCACTTTATATTAGACAGTTTCCCATGAGTGTCAATTCATTTAATGATTAAACAACCTTTAAAGATGAGTTACTACTGTCATCACACTCTTAAGAAATCAGATATATAGAGAATATGTAATTTATACAAGTTTATACAGCTTGTAAGTGGCAGAGCCAAAACTTTAACTCAGACATTCAGACTTGATAGCCTGCAAAATGCTGCTCTCTAATACAGTAATTTGTATGCTGTGAGTACATGCACAATATTCACTAGTAAAACTTCAAAATTAGTAACACTAGGGTTTGATATATCTAAGGAAAAAAAGAGAAAACAATTTGAAAAGGGAAAAATTAATGAATTTTAAAATATGCCCTCCTTGGATATCCTTACCTATCTATTTCTGCAGAATTTATCCCAGAATTGGACACATTTTCTGACACTGAACTCTGACTATCCTTCTTGGTAGGTTCCAATCCATTCTTTATATCATCAAAATTTTCATATTTGAGAGCCTGGACCAGCTGTAATAGGTACATCAACAAATCCTGAAAAACAAACAAAAAGTAAAGAAGTATTAGGATAAGAATGAAAAATGATTATAGACATAATGTACGCCTCAATATCAAGTGAACATTTTACTTTTATCTATCACTTTTCAGCTGTATTACTTGGGATGTCACCAAGTTACTTAACTTCTCTGTGCCTCACAGCCTCTTCATCTTTAAAATGAACATCATGAGGGTTAAATCAGTTAATGAAAGAATCACAGAATAGTGTCCAGCACAGTAAATGACTTGTTTCAGATAGTAGTTTCCTAGTTTCCAAAAAAAAAAAGGTGGGAAGGAGCCAAGATAGAAGGATCCTTTTTTCAGTAATAGATCAGAAGACTGCATTCTATGTTTAATGTTACATAAGAAACTCCAAATTTTCAAGTTTTCAAAGGATTTCTGTTTATCAACTTTTTCTAGTTAGAATTTTTTAAAATCCTGTATTTTCTTTTTTCCTGAAAGCTCAGGTTTTAGAGAATCTGGATTGCTTCTTAAATGAAAAAACATATAAAACAGATATTTAAACATTTGATTAAGAGACATGCTTTCTATTCCTGCCAACTACCAGGAGATTTGGACAAAACAAAATGCTAAGCCTAAATTCTCCGTAAGTGACATCCAATGAGATAACTTGGACTAAAAAGATGTCAGTCAACAAAGTAGCTTTCACTTTACTGAGTTTTCCCTTAATAATAACAATAGAAAAACCTCTTTCATGTTTAGGAAGGAAATGCTTCAAGTATTACTCTAAGAGCCAAGGTTGTCCTTAGCTCTTCACAGGTATTACTTTAAAAAGTAACTAAAAGTTAAGAAAACTGCAAAACTCAAAAAAATTTTAAATGTATCTATTACCTTCCAGTTCCAATTGTCATTCACCCTGATAGACACTTGAAACCCATAATTAGAAAACTGTGAGACTTTGGGACCACCAATTCAACTTCAGTCTCCTCTTTAAGCTCACAAACCAGGTTAAGTCTCCTGTAAATACTTCATGGTCCACTCTTTCCTATTTGTAACATCTATAGCACTTGTAATAACTTATTCTTGGCTTTGCCACTATTTGATAAACCAGGAGGACAGAGACCACCTGCCAGTTACATAAGAAACCATATTCCTTATTTAATACTACAGGCATACCTCATTGTATTGTACCTTGCACATACCGCATGTTTTTACAGAATGAAGGTTTATGGCAACCCTGCACACAGTCAAGTCTACTGGCACCATTTTCCCAACAGCATGCGTTCATTCAATGTCTTTGTGTCACGTTTTAGTAATTCACATACTATTACAAACTTTTTCATTATGATTTTATCTGTTATGATGATCTGTGATGAGTGATTTTTAATGTTAGTTTTGTAATCAGGGGAGCCACAAACCACACCCATATATGACGGCAAACTTAATTAATGTTGCATGTGTTCTGACTAATCCACCAACCAACCATTTCCCTGTCTCTCTGCCTCTCCTCAGGCGTCCCTATTCCAAGACACAATAATACTGAAATAAGGCCACTTAATAAACTTACGATGCACTCTAAGTGTTCAAGTAAAAGGAAAAGTTACACGTCTCTCACTTTAAATCAAAAGCTAGACATGATTAAGCTTAGTGAAGAAGGCACAAGAAAAGCCAAGATAGGATGAAAGCTAAGTCTCTTGTACCAAACAGCCAAGAAAAAGTTCTTGAAGGCTATTAACGATGGCTGTTCCAGCGAACCACAAATGAAAAGAAAGCGAAACAGCCTTATTGCTGATAAGAAGTTTTGGTGATCTGGGTAGATCAGACTAGCTACAACATTCCCATTAGCCAAAGCCCAATCCAGAGCAAGGCCCTAACTCTCTCCATTTCTATAAAAGCTGAGAAAGGTGAGGAAGTTGCAAAAGAAAAGTCTGAAGTTAGCAGAGGTTGCTTCATGAGATTTAAGGAAAGAAGTCATTTCCATTACATCAAAGTACAAAGCAAAGCAGCAAGTACTGATGGAGAAACGGCAACAAGTTATTGATCTAGGTGACTATATCAAACAACAATTTCAGTGCAGATGAAACAGCCTTGTATTGGAGTAAGATGTCATCTAAGACTCTCATAGCCACCGGCTGACTCTCTTAGTAAAGGTCTCATGCAGGTAGTGACTTTAAGCTGAAGCTACTGATCATTTACCATTTCAGAAGTCCCAGAGTCCTTAAGAATTATGCTACATCTACTTTGCCTGTGCTCTACAAATGGAAGAACAAAGCCTAGATAACATCACATCTGTTTACAACACAGTTTATGAATATTTAAGCCCACTGTTGAGACCCATTGTTCAGAAAAGAAGATTCCTTTAAAAATATAACTGCTCATAGACAATGTACCTGGTCACTCACCCAAGAGCTCTGATAGAGATGCAGAAGTTGAATGTTGTTTACATTCCTGCTAAAACAGTATACATTCTTCTGCCCGTAAATCAAGGAGTCATTTTGACTTTCAAGTCTTACTACTTAAGAAATACATTTTGTAAGGTCATGGCTTCCATAAATAGTGATTCTCCTGATGGAGCTGGGCAAAATAAATGGAAAACCTTCTGGAAAAGATTCACCATTCTAGATGTCATTAAGAACATTTGAGCCTCATGGGGGAAGGTCAAAATATCAACATTAACAGGAATTTGGAAGAAGTTAATTCTAACTTTCATGGATAACTTTGAGGGGTTCAAGACTTAACTGCCTGTAATCCCAGCACTTTGGGAGGCTAAGGTGGGTAGATCACCTGAAGTCAGAAGTTCAAGACCAGCCGGGCTAACATGGCAAAACTTGCCACTACTAAAAATACAAAAATCAGGTGAGTGCAGTGGCATATGCCTATAATCTCAGCTACCTGAGAGGCTGAGGCAGGAGAATTACTTGAAACCAGGAGGCGGAGGTTGCAGTGAGCCGAGAATATGCCACTGCACTCCAGCCTGGGAGAAAGTGGGAGACTCTGTCTCAACAACAACAAAAAAGACATTAGTGGAGGAAGTAAATGCAGAAGTGGTAGAAACAGCAAGAAAACTAGAATTAGAAGTGCAGGCTGAACATGTGACTGAACTGCTGCAATGTCATGCGAATACTTGAACAGATGAATAGTTGCTTCTTATGGATGAGCAGCAAAGAGTAGTTTCTTGAGATGTAATCTATGCTTGGTGAAGATGCTGTGAACACTGCTGAAATGACAACAAAGGATTCAGAATACTCCATAAGCGTAGTTATTAAAGCAGTGGCAGTGTTTGAGAGGACTGACTTCAATTTTGAAAGAAGTTCTACTGTGGATAAAATGCTAACAAGCAGCATTGTATGCTGCTGACAAACCTTTTGTGCAAAAAAGAGTCACTGGGTGTGTCAAAGTTCACATTTGGTTTTATTTTAAGAAACTCCCACAGCTACCCCAACTTTCTGCAACCACCACCCTGATCATTCAGTGGCGACAAACATTGAAGCAAGATCCTCGATGAGCAAAAAGACTACAATTCGCAGAAGGCTCAGATGATGGTTAAAATTTTTTAGCAATATTTTAAAATAAGATATGTGCATTGCTTTTCTAGACATAATGTTATTACATACTTAGACTATAGTATAATTTACTATATAAACATATAGCAAAGTTATATTTATAAATTTTCTATGTACTTGGAAGCCAAAAAATTCATATGACTTGCTTCATTGTAATATTTGCTTTACTGCAGAGGTCTGGACCAAACCTGTAAAATCTCTGAGGTATGATTGTTTATTGCTGTTTTGTTTAGAATTTATATCTCACACTAAATTTTTTTTTTTTTTTTTGAGTTGGAGTTTCGCTCTTGTTACCCAGGCTGGAGTGCACTGGTGCAATCTCGGCTCACTGCAACCTCCACCTCCTGGGTTCAGACAATTCTCCTGACTCAGCCTCCTGAGTAGCTGGGATTACAGGCACATGCCACCATACACAGCAAATTTCTTTTGTATTTTTAGTAGAGATGGGGTTTCACCATGTTGACCAGGATGGTCTCGATCTCTTGACCTCGTGATCCACCCGCCTCGGTCTCCCAAAGTGCTGGGATTACAGGCATGAACCACCACGCCCGGCCCCTAAATAATTTTTTAAAAGGTCATTAGGCAAACACTAACAAAGAGTAATACATATGACTTCACCATAAATGTAAATTAAATGCAGGCTTATTAATTCTTATTCAAATATGTCAAAGTCAGTAGTCAGGGAAATCAAGTCTCTCTATAGTGTTGTTTCTAAAAACCACTTTTTAATTGAAGCAATAAACATCTGATTTTCTATTATCCCCCTAGTTGAGATTCATGGCATGCACTAATTGTACATATAGTTACATGTTGTTTCCTAAGGAAAAAAGCATTATGTAATGGAAAATTGAACAATATGTTTAATGACTGGTATCCTTCTTTGGAGGTATAAGTAATTCCATTTCACTGCCAGCCTTCATTACCATTGCTGCTGATTACCTGTGTGCTTTCCTAATTACAGAAAAGAGTTAACCATATAAAATAAAAAAAAGCTAAGGTATTAAGTTCCCCAGGAAGGAGAAATTCAGTAGGTAACTTTTCTAAGTCACTTATCATCATCTGATTTCTTGGTCATTTCATATCCATATTCAAACTATACTTTCCTTCATCAGTAGGAAAATGAATTAACTTCATTAATAAATACAGAGTCTGTTTGCTCATTATATAGTCACATCTTGAAAAATATAAAAGTCTTCCAAGCATGAAGGACATAAGCATTGGAGTAAAACAAAGCAAAAAAGAAAAAAAAAATCAGGCTTCCACCTTAGGCATTTCTGTAAATATTTCCCAAGAGCTATGAAATTTTGTTTAGATAGTGATCATCACTTTTCTCAAGAGCAAGTTAATTCTAATGTTTCAAAGTGAAAATGCAAAGTCCCATATCAAAATCACTCAGTGACTTTCCATTTCTTATTGAATTAAGAATAACTCTCCAAATAGGCATTTTCAGTTAGAGACATGGGTTCTGATTTTTGCCTCTCAATGGCTACATATATCCGACACTCTTGTCAAAGTGACATACTTTCCATTCTTCCTGTACTTTCAACTCCCTTGCTCTTGCTCACATTGCTTTCTCTACCTGCAATACAAACTTCAAACATAAAAATTCTACATTTCCTTCAACTCAAATGCTACTTCTTCATTAAACTCTAATATGGACTATCTCTCCTTTTGAACTACACAGCAGTGAGAAATATGATTTAAAAATTCCTAAATAATACAAGATAAAGAATTGTCATTAAAAAATCTTAAATAAGATAGTAACAAATCAAATTCAGAAAGGTACTGAAATTTATTTTACAAGGGTATGGCTGATATAACATTAGGAAATGTATCAGCATACTTACAGTAGATTGATAAAAGAGAGAGACCATATGTTATGAACAGGTGTAAGAAGAGTATTTGATACTATATAAAAGCCATTCTTGATTTAAACACACAGAACAAGATAACAAAGAGAGACAGGGAGAAACTTTGAACATAAATGACAGCATTTGGCTGAAACCAGCAAGCAACCCACGTTAAGAGTGAATGGGAATACTAAAAGTATTCCCATAACGAACAGCAAGATAAAGATAAATATAGAATTACTTTTATTCACCATTATTACTTGCAGCTTTTAGCTAATGCAATGAAAAAATATACTGCTTTTCAGCTAGCATAATGCTATACCCAGAAAATACAAGAGGCAACCTAACATCTATTAAAGTAAGAAAAATCAATAAAGTAGCTAAAACAAATATTGAAACAGAAACAGTATTCCTTTTAACTAAGAAATGTAAATAAAAAATAAATGTGAGGCCGGGCGTGGTGGCTCATGCCTGTAATCCAAGCACTTTGGAGGCCAAGGCAGGAGGATCACCTGACATAGGGAGTTCAAGACCAGCCTGACCAACATGGTGAAACCCCGTCTTTAAAAAAATAAAATAAAATAAAATAAAAAATTAAAAAAAGATAAATAGAGTGGGGTAGTTTATAATAGCAACAATAATAAAATTACTAGGGAATAAATCAAAATTATAAGCATATATATGATTTTTATTAAATTGATAAGTGAGTGAAAAAAAATCATATTCCACTGTGAGGGAAGACATAATATCATAAAGTTGTCTTTTTTATATAATATGCAAATATAACATAATTCTACTTAAGATTCTGGTGCAATTTTAAGAAAATGATAAAAATATTCAAATTCATAGAAAGAATAAATGCAAAAAATATAAAACTGATAAAAAAAGAGGAAAGGATTTGTCTAATCATACATTTTAAGTATTACAAGGCAACCAATGTTTGGAAGTATGATACAAGCCTAAAAATAGAAGACTTATGGGAATTATCAGGCAAAATGTAAAAAGCAGTATCATTTGGTTCAATATCTAATGAAAGCAATTTATTCAAAAATGTAATTTTTAAAACATACCCACCTACCTACCCCCACACACCCATTCACTAAAATATAGTTACAGGAAAAGAATAAGAACAACCACCTATCAAGAGGCTCACTGGTTAAGTAAATTAAAAAATAAATTCACAGTAAAATCTCACGATGTTATTTAGAAAGAATAAGGCAGATCTACAGTGACAGAGTTCAGGACCATGCTACCCCAAAATATAGCATGCTGGCGTTCAAATTTTTTTTATTCATCACAAGTCACTTGCAACCAAATCTGAGTTTATGTTAATGAGGTAACTTTTAGAAAGCCCCTAAAGATGGGGGCTGGCTGAGAGAAAAGTCAGCCATGTGATTAGAGACTGGAACTTTAAGCTCCACCCCTCAATCTCTGGGGAACAGAGAGAAGAACTAAAGATTGACCTAATCACCAACAGCCAGTGATTTAATCAATCATGGCAAAGTAATGAAGCTTCAAAAGCAATCTGAGAGCTTTTGGGTGGGTGAAGAAGAATGCACCCACATACCAGGAGAGTACTGTACCGCAGACTCCAAGGGGACAGAAGCTCTTGTGCTCAAGGCCTCATCCTATGTGTCACTATATCTAACTGTTCATCTGTATCCTTAGGATACCCTTCGTAATAAATCAACAGCAGTAAGTAATGTTTCCCTGAATTTTGTGAGTCATTCTGGCAAATTACCACATCCAAGGACAGGGTTGTAGGAGCCTCCTGATTTGCTAAAGCCAGTCAGAAGTCAGAAGGATGTAATCTAGTGGAGATTAGGGGTTTGGGGTCGAGAGACTGAGCATCATTATTGCAGATGAAACAAGATTGGCTATAAGTTGGCAACTGCTAAGAACAGATGCATGGTCAGGGTTCATTATACTATTTATATAAATTTCACCATAATTAAATGTACACATACAATTATCAACTTTCATAAATATTTCACTTGCTTATTGAAATTCGGATGCCACTGATTCAAAATGATCTCACTGTCCCCTCCCTCTTAAAAATGTATTTGATGATAGTTGTTCTATGCGATCAGCATTCCCATATATACTGAAGCTGAGACATTACTCCACATCCCATAAAGTACCGCTGGCTAGCATAAACTATTAGATTATATTTAAGAACATATTCACCCTATAAAAATTATTTAAAAAATTGCTGAATTAGTCTATCTCATAAAGAATTATTTAAACCCCAAATCCCCTTGTGTCAAAAGAATGTTCCTCCTTCCCTGATGGCCTTACATGTATAGTCATGTGCTGCAATAACAACGTGTCAGCCAAGAGAAGACTACATATATGATAGCAATCCCATACGATTATAATACTGTCTTTTTATTGTACCTTTTCTATGCTTAGGTATACAAATACTTACCATTATATTACAATTGCCTAAAGTATTTATATTTAGTACAACAATATGCTGTACAGGTTTGTAACTTAGGAGTACATAGCCTCAGTGTGCAGCAGGCTATACCATCTAGATTTGGGTAAGTATACTCCATGATGTTTGCACAAAGATGAAATCCCCTAACACTTCCCTGTCATTAACTGATGTATAACTATATAAATAGCCAGCATATAGTTGGGAATATTTGCTTCAGAAAATCTACATATACATATAATTGTCATCAGCTGAAAGTTTAAAAGGCGAATTTGAAGGAGAGTAGGATGACCATGGATCTCTGTGCTTTAAAGGCCCCAAGGGCATTTCAAGGCTACAATTAAACATAGCTTGTTGTATACTGACTGATAGAGGAGATCTGAATTATTCCCTAGCTGGTGCTGCATTAAACCATTTTTCACTAGAATTCCTTCTTCCAGACAGAGCAATACAAGCTCTGCTGCCAGGTAAATGTCCTGGGAGAGACTGTCCTATCACGTAACAGGTGAGGAAGTAAATTTTCATTTCACAGAGGAGTCCCTTGAGGCATATTTTAATTTTCCTTCTGAAAACACACCTAGTATATCCTCTTCCCTTCTAGAAATCTCTCTCTTGCGTGTGCGGGCACTCATTCTCACACACAAATACACACAGTCTATAATTAGGCTCTAGTTTAAAATGACTGAAATTGAATAATAAATAATAACGCACCTCATCATCGGCCTGTCGCAACCGGGCAACAGCGTAACGCCTCACTGTTGGATTGGTGTAATGGGAGGAAAGCAGCTCCAAGGAGTCCTCTACATCCATCGGCTTCCATTTTCCCAGAAGTTCCAAGGCCTGTTTGGCCTCTTGAGGTAGATCCCAATTAACACATTTCAGGAATTTTGTCAAAGCCTAAAATCAGAAAATATTTAAAAATTAGAAACAACCTATTTCTTGGGATAGAGAAGGTGACTAGGCAGAGTTTCACTTGGTCCTAATGGCAGAGCCACGGAATCAGTGATAGACTATTTGTGTAAACCCTAAATGAAGTTATATATATGATCTTAAAGAAGCACTGTGTGACAGAAAAAAATGCATGTTCCTTGTATCTTTATATTTTCCAGGCCAAATCATTTGCAGAGCACTATGACTTTTTAAATTTATTTTGGCTTTTCTTGATTTTGCTATTATTATTTTAAAATACTGCAGACCTCAAGACATGGAAATAGTTGAGGCATTTCTCACAAACTCTAAGATACCTTAGAGACAACCTACATTTTACAACAGAAAATGCTTCAACCACTGAATCAAAGGGCCAGAAAGCATGCAAGCACAGAAATTACCACCACTAGCCTCACTCTTGATCAGCTCCCTAGAGTATGACCACTGGCTTTCGTAGATACTTAAACATGAAGGCTCAAACAATCTGGAGTATGTACGTAACTCTGTGAAATAACTACTTAAGAAGATAGGCAATCCAACAAAACTTCAAAACACAAGTATAAAAATGGATAAGTGGAGAAACAGCAGCAAACAGTCTATGATTCGGCTGGTTGTAGCATCTTTCTAGAACCTCACACCTTTGAATAGGCAGCATACTAAAGTTTTCGTAAGGCTGTTAGTTAAGCAGATTGTCTTAGCACATATCATTCATTGCACAAACAGTATATGCTCTTTTAAGAAAGGTATACACTTGTTGGCCAGGTGTGGAGGCTCATGCCTATAATTCCAGATCTTTGAGATGCTCAGGCACTGCTTGAGGCCAGGAGTTCAAGACCAGACTGGGCAACATAGCAAGACCCCATCTCTATAAAAACAAATTAAAATAAAGAAAAGTATATACTTGTTTTCCATAAAAAGCAACACTTATTGCTGGGTCTCAAAGGCAACACTTTCCTAGCTGAACCCAAGATGTTCTCTTCTTTGTCTTCCTCTGTTGTTATCTGTTAAAAATATAGATAACTTGAAAATTTAAACCTCCTGCTCTGTCCAACCAAAATCTTTTTATTAGTAAACTAAACCAGTCCTCAAGAAAATGTCTACTTGGACAACAAACCAAGTGTCTGGTTAGTATGACACTAAATTAACCCTCATACCCATTCCCTAACTTATTCTTGATTTTACTAAATTAAGAAAAAAGGCACTATGGATATTGTCTAGTTCAATGCTTAAATCATATATAACCTCAGCAAAGTTAAATGGCTTGCCCAACACTTCAAAATGGCGCATGAGCTAGACCTATAAGCCAGGTCCACCAATTTTCAGTCCCATGCTTCTTCCACCATATGGTGCTTCCTTACCAGTAAGGCACTCCATTTCCTAATTAGCCCCATTACTCTGCCAACACTAAGTTCCTAAATCCATTCCAGTCCCTTTTAATTATTTCCTAGCAATATCTCTTATATTTGTCCTCAGCCCGATTCTCATTATATCACACAACTGGAGTTGGACAGAGCCTTCTAGCTAAGAACCTCAATACCAGTTTCTCTTCTAATCATTTCATACAAACTCTTAGAAGCTCAAGTTGGAAGTGGTCTTAGCACAAATTTCCCAATGTTAGCAGAAACACCCCACAACATTAATGCCAAAATAGAGATCCAGTATTTACTTAGGAGACTCCAGGAACTAATTTCCAAATTAGCCATTATATTCATAGAAAGCTAAGCTATTTTGGTTTGGTTTGGTTTTTAACTAAAATGAACCAAAAGAAAAAATGTCTTCATATTGCTTTTTCCAATTGGTTAGTTTCACTCTCTGGAGAGAAATGAGAGTAAATTTAGCCCCATATGATGAGGACAGCCTTTCCAATATTTGAAGATAACTGCCATACTGTTACAAGGTGGTTTCAACTAGATGATAGGGATACTCTAGTTTGTAAATAAACAAATAAAATAACCTTGGCTTCTTTCTCAAAACATTTCATCACTACCACTTACCACAATGCAAGCCTGTTTGATAAAACTCTCATTGCCCTTCCATGCTTCAGCCCAGTTAACTTATATTAACAATGGCTCTCTAACCACTGTGTATAATCCCCGCTTATACTCTTCACCAAAACAGGGATATCCTCTTCTCTAAGGCCATCTTGTCAAAAACTCAAGTTTCACAAGAAGTTTTCAGCGACTTTCAGCTATTCCTTTAGAAGCTAGCTCAATTTTACTACTGTCATTTAAATGATGTTCTTCTGCCTGCCAAATGTTTTTGTGGGCATTTTTATCTCTATAACTGGAGTCTGCATCCCCCAAGGACAGCTGTCCATTTCCTCTACACCTCCTGCACACCATTTAGTATAATGCCCCTTTCTGTATAGAACACAGATTGCCCTACTAACTTATTCCATGAATTTATTTTCCATTTCTAAAATGCATTTCTAGGTTGAATGTGGAAACAAAGCAATACTTCTTAAATAATGATAGTGAAAGCTTTTCCATTTCACAGTACATCAGCAGTCTTAATAGAAATGTGCGGGTATGTACTTATTATAAGCAAATCTTGTAGCATGCTGATGTACTCAATTCAATAACTGAAACAATCTAAAACCTGGATTCTCAGATTTATAGACTTATTAGCAAGATTTATAGAGTATACTGCTGCCAAAGAACATAAGGCACTGTACAAAAGAATTTCACAACTTTTTAATGTTAAATGTTACAAATGTAAACAGGGAGTCAATAGAATGAAGAAGGAAACAGGGAGTCAAAGAATACGAAAGACAAAAAGTAAGAATGTGAAGACAGCAATAATAATAATAATTAGCCCTAGGTCTTTCAAAGATGCTTTACTGATCTTTGAAATGTAAAGATACAGGATTGAAGTACAATTCTCTCTCTCTCTGGAACTTCCATAGATAACTGAAGAGCACACGCTGCAGAGCCAGGGTATTTCAGTTTCAATTATAATTCCCGGCTCCATCAATTCTTAGCTAACTAAATTGAAGTATATTATTTAACTTTTAAAAGACCTTTCTCATAGGCTTGTGGTGAAGACTAAGATAATGAATGTAAAATGTTGGTAATAATACCCTTTATATAGTAAATGATTAGTTATCAGTTATTATTTCATTCTTATTTCTGATGTTGACATCAAATGTTAACCTTACATACTTATTACTGTTTTATTCCCTTCTGATCTGAAAATCACCTGTTATCTCCTATTCTTAGAATCACAATCATGTAAGAACTGAAAATACTATATTTATCTCATGTATATTTCTAATTTAAACTTCTATCAACTAAATTCTTACAAATTTCCATTTTGCTGCTTTTCCAATGCTTCTCAATTCCAAATACTCAAACACGAAAACATCTCATTCTTTTCTTTCCACCTGCCATATGTCCTTACTGATATGATGTGGCTGTATCCCCACCCAAATCTCATCTTCAATTCCAACATGTTGTAAGAGGGACTCGGTGGGAGGTAACTGAATCATGTGGGCAGGTCATTCCCATGCTGTTCCCGTGAGAGTGAAAAAGTCTCATGAGATCTGATGGGTTATATAAGGGAGAGTTTCCTTGCACAAGCTCTTTTTGTCTGCTGCCACCCATGTAAGACATGACTTGCTTCTCCTTGCCTTCCGTCATGATTTGTGAGGCCTCCCCTGACACATACATGCAACTGTTAAGTCCATTAAAACTCTTTTTCTTCCTAGTCTCAGATATGCCTTTATAAGTAGCATGAAAATGGACTAATTCAGTAAATTGGTACCAGAAGTGGAGTACGAACCCACACGAATATAAATCCATCAGGCTCAGGCCTAACCCCTAGGCATAGTCTCCAAGTCAACTTGCTTGTATAGCTTCTTCTCCATCCCTTACCCTCCAAAATTATTCTTTAAGTCAGTATATGAGCTTCCTAAGTATATCACTTTTTTCACTTTCTGCTCTGATCCAACCTATCGTAGTTTGTACTCGTTAAAATATCACTTGTTAGGCCAGGTGTGGTAGCTGACGCCTATAGTCCCAGCACTTTGGGAGGCCGAGGCTGGTCAATCACCTGAGGTCAGGAGTTCAAGCCCAGCCTGATCAACATGATTAAACCCCATCTCTACTAATAATACAAAATTAGCTGGCATGGTGATGCATGCCTGTAATCCCAGCTACTCAGGAGGCTGAAGCAGGAGAATCGCATGAACTCAGGAGGCAGAGGTTGCGGTAAGCCAAGATTGTGCCATTACACTTCAGCATGGGTGACAAGAGTGAAACTCTGTCTCCAAAGAAAAAAAGAAAGAAATAAAATATCACTTGTTAATATACATTTTCCTGCTTTAGTAGTTTCCTGTTGCCACTAAAATTGAATTCCTAAGGGTAGAATTCAAGGCTCATCACAATCTGCTGCCATCTTTTCTATTTCATAACCATTCATGCAAAACTTCTCTATCTCCTGAACCTAACAGCTTACCTTACTCATGCTTTCCTTCCCCATAAAAAATGATCACCAAATAAAAAATGCTATCAAAGTCTGCTCACACTTTAAAGGCAATCTTTGCTCTGTGAAACCTTCGTCATATCATAAGCACACTGATCTTGTCATCCTCCACATTTCTATTATATTAATGACCTGTATGTTTATTAAGACGGTGACCCTTAATTACTATACCTCCTCATTTTAATTACATGTAAATATCCTTACCCCAAAACAATTTTAATTTATATGAATACAGGGACATGATACCTGAAGGCTCATAGTCTTATATAATGCTAGGCCAAGAGGTGATAATAAATAATTGCTGAACTGAATTCATTTACCCCATGGGTCACCATCAACTTCTTGTCAGGAGACACAAATAATGATTGTCCTCATGTCACTGTCTCAGAAACAGCCTTATAAGAATACTCACTGCATCACTATTACCTTCATTATATGTGTATCTTTCTACTGCTTTTTTTCCCCCACGCATAATTAAAAAGGCATGAAGTTAATTTAAATTAGTATTTTTATAAGAAGAAAGCCCATTGTAAAAGCTACTAATTTGTTGAAAAAGTAATTTTAGTTTTTGTCAAATAGTTTTAAAAGATTACAACAGTCACATTTCAGGTTCCGCAGAAGTGAGTCACATCCTACCTGCTATGAACTATGAATCTGAAAATACTTAATAAATTTAAATGGTAAAATATTTAATTAAATAAAGTTATTATTATGACCTTTCTGGGTGCAACATCAAGTCCTGACTAGCAGGTTTTCATCTGAAAGACTTAAGACAGGTCATTGAGAAAAAAAAAGGTTAGAAAGACAAAATGTAACTGAAAAATAAAAAGTGTAACTTTGGTAAGAATCAATTTCATCCAATTTGTTTTCTGAGCACTGCCTTCTCTCTAGGAAAGCTTTTCAGCCCCGGGGCCCAAATATTAACTAACCTAAATCACAATTTCTGAGAGTTTGACGCTAAAAGAATTTCTTTCTGTAAATAAATTAATGGGTGGAGCATGAGAGTATTCGTTTTTCACAAAACCTATTTGAAATTATTACAAGGTTACAAATGTGGCTGTGTGAATAATTCCTTAGGTCACTTCAAGGCCTATATATATTTTGTTTACTCAAAAGAGACTCCTGAACATTAAAACGTATCGTTCACTCTATTCTAGTGGTCATAGGAATCCTGTAATATGTACTGAGAATTGAAGTTTCATCGCTCACCTTTCAAAAACTTGAAATCAACTAGTTAAATGAAACTTGTCACACACTTTATATCACTTGAACATTTTATTTCTTTTGCACATATCTAGAAGTAATTGAATTTCAGTGGGAAGTGACTACTTGTTTAAACAAACAATTTTTCTTGCAAACCTTTCTATCTAAAAAAGTTCTGCTCTGTAAATCTTCTCCTCTATGCTTCTTAAACCTATGCATTCGAACAGGTTCAATTCAATATCTTGCTGTGTATTTTAGATGACAGTGAGCTGCATTCAAGAAGCAATTTCTGTGACCAAGGTTATTGCTCATTTAATACAGTATCATGATACTAACTCAATCTTTTAATAAAACACAAATCACAAACCTGTGTTTCTGTTGGTGAATTTTTTTTTTGTTCAGTGATGAAGAGAATTACACTCAAAGCTATACTAAATGTAAAATACTTATCTCATTCTTATTATGGATATAAAGGAGAATATGATTCATTTACAAAGAATTTCCTAAGGCATCAATAAATGATAAAGCAGAAAAGCTGAAGAGTTAAGATGAGCTGTAACTGGATTTTTATCTTAATGAACTAAAGAAAAGGCATTTGGTTCACAAAAACAACTTAAAATAGTAGTTAAAGATCGTATCACAAGATTATAAAATGTATCACTTTGTTCATTCTCATATAAATATGTAACAACTTCCTGATGGATATTAAGTTTCCTAATGCTTCTCTGCTCTTTCCCTAATGCATTTCAGGATTCCTGCTAAGGCATGTGCATGATGTTGAAAATGTTTTCTCTGTAATTCTCTTTTCTATGACTTCACTGACTTCCTTTTCTTCTAATTCATAGATGCAAGTATATTGAGAGGCAGCATGTACAAGCTTTGTGAGTCTTCATAGATCCCCTAATCTCTCTTGGGCTCAAGTTTCCTCATCTGTAGAACAGTCACAATAATACATATATTGTGGCATTGTCATGAAATTCAAATAATTCCTGGTACACAGTATCTGTTTAAAACATTCTGAATACTATTATTACAACTTAAGAGGTAATCCTCGGCTCTGCTTTAAGATTTTACAGACTATTTTAAAAACTAGAAGAGACAAAGCTCATAATCACATGATTGTCTTATATTAAGTATGAAGAAATGAAAGCTTACACAGGTAAACTAATTTGCCTGTAGTCAAAAGCTTCTTAGGAGCAACTGTAACACTCAAAACTAAGTGTCCACAGACTACAGGTTAGTGATGACTACTTCACCACAATTCTCTCTCCAAAAATCCTATCTTCCCCATGGTTTTATTACAGGAAGCAAATGTCTAACTTTGAACTACACTTTATCCTCCATGCCAGCCTGTATGCTATTCTACAAACTGAATTCCCACATCTCAAATTATATTTCACATACTCTCTCTGTCCAGCCACATTTTGTCCAGAATTCTGTAGCTTTGCTCTTATAACAGCATACATATTCTCTTAGTAACCCAAGTTCAAAGAGGTAAGAAGAGAACCAGTATTTACTCTGCACCTCCTATGTACCAGATACTCTACCACGTTACTTATCTGTATTACCTTACTTGTGAAGGAGAATTGTCTCTATTAGAATAATAAAGACACCAAGCTATCTCGGCTCACCGCAACCTCCGCCTCCTGGGTTCAGGCAATTCTCCTGCCTCAGCCTCCTGTGCAGCTGGGATTATAAGCATACGCCACCATGCCCAGCTAATTTTTTGTATTTTTAGTAGAGATGGGGTTTCACCATGTTGACCAGGATGGTCTCGATCTCTTGACCTCGTGATCCACCTGCCTCGGCCTCCCAAAGTGCTGGGATTACAGGCTTGAGCCACCATGCCCGGCCTGTAACTTTTCTTTAAAGTGACAATAACAATTTCCATGGCAGTCTCCTCATCTTATTAATAACAAAGTTGGTAGATAAATTTGATATATGAAAATATTCAAGACACTCACTTTTTCTTGATTTGTAAGATAATATCTAAACTTCCAAACAAGATCTTGTTCTTCATATGTAAGTTGCTTGGTTGGTGGATAACTCACAATAATCTAAAAAAAAGAAAGAAGAACTAATTTTGTCAACTATATACTTCCTACATATTTCCATTTCACTTAATATTTTTCAACTGTAATTCTATACTAAAATTATTATATAAGCAAGGACAATGTAAATTCAATCAGGAAGGCCTTAAACTTGTAATTATGTGTCCAAAAAGCAGTTTAAAGTAGAAGAAAAGAAGAGAAGGTCATATTCCACAGAAAAACATTTAACTGGAGAGTTCATTTAATTCAATCAGAAACAAGACATAGCAAAATAACAATGTCCCCTACCAGAAAAAGGAAAAATGTGCACACAATAAACTCTTTTCAAGTCAATGCATACAACAAGGCAGGTGTGCCCAATAAGTTATCTCTCAGGCAATGTCTTAAGGCCAGCTTCTAAGAATAATACTATGTCATGAAAGTATATGAGTATTTGTAGTTCTGTCTCCAGAGCTAATAAATTTATGGAAAGCCCCAAATCTGATATGTCAAATTATTAACATGATGTAAGATTCATCAACCTGGAGAAAATGTGCATCTAAATAATTTTTAAGTGAGGTGATAGCTATCAGTTTCAATGAAAATACCCATTTAACTATTTTTAAGTTAATATTTCAAAAATACTCTTACATTTAACTGATCTCTTGTGGCAGCATTGGGTTTGAGATCATGGTCAGAAGGTCCACTTCTTAAACTCCGGGCAAGCTTGTGGTGTTTGCTCTCAACTAAATTCTCCTATAAATTATTTTAAAATATTGACAATGTAAACTTCACCAAAAGGAAACTTCAACAGCTATTCATAAATATAAAAAGTACTTGAGAGGAGTTAATAATATTGAATGTTTTATTCTGATACAACCTTAGCAGTCTTCTACATCCTTTAAAAATATGTATCCTTCTAAAGACTGGAAAACTAAGTATGCCTTAAACTCCACTAGTCCCATAACATAGACACGTCATTCCAGCTTCTTAAAACATCTTCCCCTTACTCTCCACATATTCAAGGTTTCCACATCTTCTAATCAGTCAAATATCACCATCACTATAAAATCTTCCCTGAAAACATAGTCTAAGGCATTTCTTCCTCTTATCAGCTACTAATGACCTTGTGATGTCACTGTATTATCATCCTAGCAGTTATTTAAGCTGTCAGTCACTGAGGGCAAGAAATGATCACGGCGCTTGAATGTACACATCCAGTGTTGATTATTTTACCCATAAAATAAAGTATTAGTTTTAACCATACTGTCATTGCCTAAAACAACATATAAATTTATATTATTTATTTTGTATTGCATATGTAAATTGTCTGTTTATGTCATATTCATAATTTTTATTAGCTTTATTGTCCTTTGTCCTTTATTTTTAAGAGTTCTTTATATATCAGCACTAATATATCTTTAAATTATGTAACTATTTTCTCCCAATTTGTTAACTGTCTTTTGGCTTTGTTGGTGTCTTTAGTCATGTGATTTTATTTTCTTATTTTTTTTTTAATTTCCACAGTACTCTGCTTTATTTTCAAAGTCATGTTAATTTTCATACTTAGTGTATGCTATGAATATCAGAATGTAAAATGTAATTTGATTTTGTACTGAAGATTAAGTGCCAATTTTAGATACATTAACTGGATTCTACTACACTATGCACAGGAACTATAAAAGTCTTTAGAGTATTTCTACCAGATCCTCAAGTGGCTTTTTTTCAACTTTTTATTCTCTACTTTCCCCCACATCTCTTCCTTTGACATTAGGCCATCAGCCACTACATGTCCTGCTTTCATAACCTGTACTTATCTCAATCATCATGATTTCATCATCCAATGTGCCACTTTTAATCCACTTTGGTCTGATAAGGAAAGTAATCTAATTAGAAATGTATAAAATTAGAATAAAAAGAGTTGGAATGATGTAAACGAGCTGAAACTGTGAAAACCATGACATCTATTGTACTGCTAAAACGATTTTGTGCCTAGAAGTTTGTAATTCTAAAATCATCTAACTAAACCTCTATTGCATTGGATGAATTCTTATCCTCATATCCCTGAGAGAAAGCTATCATCTCGAAAATTCGGTAATAAGAAGGTATGCCACCATCATCCAACATACCATGTTCTAAACTGAATAGTTCTAAGGATGCAGCAATCTTCCCTGTTTTCCAACAAAATTGGTCTCCCTAAATTTTTCATGCATTCATCCTAGTTAACAGGCAAAACTTCCTTCTGTATGATGACAATCTTTCAAATACCAGTTCTGCCAAGTCTTCACTTCAAGATTATATCACCTCAACCTGAAAAAAAAAAAACACTATACTCCCTAGCTCTTCCAGCAATTCAAATAAAGTAGATGCCCAACCCTACACTACTACCCTTAACCTTAGTTTTAGGATGTCAATATTCCTCATAAATTCTATCAGAAACAGATTCTAGATAGCTGAAGTCAATTTATGAACCACTTTTAGTTAACAGAGGCAGTTACATATTACTTTGTTTAAAGAAAGTACATGATGTGGCTAACTCACAATTACTCTGAACAAAAATAATTTCATTTAAAAAATTTGCACAATAACTTACCATAGACATCTGGGGGTCAGGAACTTTTACTAATTCAAAACTTGTTAAAATTGGAGATGATTCATCACCGTCCTAGATTACAGAGCAAAAATTAAAAAAAAAAAAAGAAATTTAATACAATAGGAAACAGTATATGATATACACACCAATGTATTTTACTTCTAATTGATGAACATCATTCTTCCCTTTAAAGAAATCCTTATTTTCTTCCAACTATATTATAAAATGCATATCCACTTTGTACCTACCTCTCTTTGGTTGATGATGAAATTATTTTGAGAAAAACTCTAACAAAATTTTTACTACAGGTTTAGAGATATGAGGTCTGGAAATTAGACGGTTTGGGTTTTGTTTTTTTTTTTAATTTTGTTCATAGGATGACAGTGGGTTTTTAAAAACATGCTAATTTTCAAACTCAGAACAAGAAACCACAAACTATACATAAACATGGCACAATGGATGTGTTGCACTACTTGCAAAAACGAAGTGGATGTTGGTAATTTTTCAAGATGATACGATTGAGATCCATTCAAAGGAGCAGAATTTAAGTGTAGGGTTAATGTTACTGAAATGTATACACAGCTAGGAAATCAACAACGTTGTTGCTCAAAGGAACACCTACAAAAAATAATCTAAACTTGAATAATAAAATCAATTAATCAATTTTTCAGAAATAAAGTCATCTTATTTTGTTGGTATTCTCATTTTTGATGAATGTTGGCTTTTATTTTTATCCAATGCAAGCGAGAAAGGTAATTCAAAATAAAAATGTCACTGCCAAACATACTGGTAAAAGGCTAAACTAAGATCAAAATTAACTTTCTCATGATTGTATATCTAGCATCAAGCTTTTCCGTCAATTTCCAAATGCTAGTGTGTTTTTAAATATGGGCAACTAACTCAGGAGAGACTGAAAGTAGGAAAGCACTGTGACTTTACTTCAGTTCAGTAATTGAGTCTTACAGAAAACCACAAATTCCCACAGCCGTTGTTTAACAGGCTTGTTCTCAGTCACAACACCAGAAAACACATTTATCAGCCAAACTGTGACAAGTAATCTTCACTAAGGCTATCTGTCACAAAAGACAGGTGACAAGAAAGTCTATTTCCATTAGATTCAATACACTGGCCCAGCAATCTTTACACTAAGTGGAAATATGACAGGGTGGGTAGACAGGCATTAATTTATGAACAATTTTCAGGAAGCAGTAGAAAGGGGTCAAGAACCTTTTCAAAAATACTTGAAATTCTTCTAATTTCTATTCTGTTATTATTTCATCTGCTACCAAAGCTGTCTTTCAAAAGATCCTTCACATCTCCAATGTTTGAAAGTACCATCTCCATTAGCATGTTTTTACAATATAAACTCAAAATGGGCAGAAAATACTGCTTTTAATGAAATGACATGTAGTATAAAGTGTAAAATATGCTTTTATTAAAATGCACTGGTGACAGAACAGTTTCACTCACACTTCCCTTTTCTGATGTATTTTTTTTCTAATAAATTAATAAACAATGTTAAAGAATCTATCCAAGGAGTACCATTTATAAAATAAAAGGCAGAAACAAGTTAACATTTCCTATTCTTTCACTAACATAAAAGGGATTTAAGCTAAAGACAAAAATATGAACAGTATCTTGAAAAAGGATCATAAACTGTAAAAACTCAAACCTTCATTATGAGACCTTTCAAATAGTAATTTATAAAAGTATATATATTTTTTAAATCACTTGCTATAACTTTAATAAACAACAATAAAGTGTAAATGTAATTTAAAAGCACTGCTTCTAATAAACAAAGACACTGCATATAAGCTTGGTCACATGCTAGAAGAAATACTAATCTATTACTACGTTATGTACCAAAAGTCTGTCATCATTTATGCTGATTTAAACATTTATCGACTATTAACACAGTAATAGAAGAAATTTGATTTATGTGGTTTCAAACTATGCATACATTTTTTTAATTTTTTATACTCATTTTAAATAAACATAGAGTCTCACCATATTGCCCAGTTGGGTCTCAAACTCCTGGGCTAAACTAATCTCACGTGGCCAGCCAAAGTGCTGGGATTATAGGCATGAGCCCTGACACCTGGCCTGCAGATAATGATTTCTGCAGTACTTAAAGGAAGATACTTTCAGGCAGGAACACACTAAGCACAGAACTACTTTCTTTAGCATAATTGGGCAGAATAGAGCAAATCTATAACTGCATATGTTATTACTCATCCTTATGGTAAAACTGTGGTCTTAATTTTGCATATATTGTACAAATAAATAAACATTTCTGAAGTATTTCATAAGTATACTTAAGTGAGGGCCACATACAGACATTACATATGCACTCAAATAACAGACTTAACTTTCAATAAACAGCCTACCACTTAAAATATAATTTCCTCTTTTCATTCTTTAATAATAATAGTAAATAAAGCCAATACTTAGTGTCCTACTTGCCAATTTGCAGAACAATTAATCACAAAGTTTTTAATCACTTGCATACTTATCGAATTCTGTGACCCAGAACTGCATTACATGAGTGATCGGCTTTTGTAATCTTGTTGTAGCTCTATCATTTGATTTGTGTATACATAAACAGCTGCTGCTGACAGCTGTCTGCTGCTACCCTGCAACCAAATAATTCATCCCAGCAGAAACAACAGTAATTTTTTTTAATATTTCCCCTCCCCTCTACTTTAGAGATAAAAAACAGTTCCAAGGCAAATACCTTTTCATAATAAACAATACCATATTCCTTATCATCACACTTGACACATCGAAACTCAACCATCAAGTACATGAAATTAGAACTTCGTTTTTCACTCTGAAAAAGAAAAAAATGATTTTCATGAAAAAGGATTTTCAATATTCTCTTAAGGGATCAGTATATCATTTTTCCCAATTCAGTAATAGATGTACCTATCAAATCCAAGTCAAAATATAACAAATTTTTATTATATACATGTAGTGTTTACTCAGCACTATCATTTTATTATAGACAATACTACTGTTATTCAGTAGTGTCTACTATGCACTTGTAGTTGCTTTCTCAAATTTCACATTTTTGGTTTATTCAGTAGTTTGGATTTTATAATCTTGAAGGTATTTTGTACACATTCGCATGAGAACTATTTTATTTCGAAAATAAAAAGAATGGTTTGTCTTTCTAACAATTTTAAGTAAAGTTCACCCTTAACCAATATGACTAAACAAACTATAGAAATCAATATGTCTAACAAAAATCAAAAGGAAAAAAAAAATCTCTGTGCAACCTAGGAACAGAGGCCATTTGAGTTTACTAAGTTTTTACAAGTTTTTCATAATTTACAAATATTCTTAAAATGATTTGTCATTTGTAATTTTTTATCCACACTTTAAATATACTGTGGAATAATTACTTCTTGTCACAACATTAAAAAAAAAGTTATTTATATAATTGTGTCACCTTAAAAAAGAAAAGCAAACATGGTCACATGTCACTTAACAATAGGTACAGATTCTGAGGAACGCATCACTCGGCAATTTAGTCATGTGAACATCATAGAATGGATAAACACAGATCTAGACGGCATAGCCTACTGCACACCTAGGTTATATGGTATGACCTATTACCCCTAGGGTACGGTCTTGTATTGCAGGTTACTATACTGAATACTGTGGGCAAGTCTAACACAATAGTAAGTATCTATCTAAACTATCTAAGAGAAAAGGTACAGAAAAAATAAGGTACTATAATCTTACAGAACCACCATTGTACACGTGATATATGGTTGATTGAAAAGACTTGACAAGGCACATGACTATACCAGGGTGATGATGAAGTGAAAATACAATGAAGTCTAAAGGGGTAATGAGCCTTGACCCAAAACAACTTTATAAATGTCTTTAGATCTAACAGGTAACATTGCCAGGTATGGTTGCTCACACCTGTAATCCTAACACTTTGGGAGGCAGAGTTGGGAGGCCTGCTTGAAGCCAGGAGCTTCAGACTATCCTGGGTAAGAGAGCCAGACCCTGACTCTACAAAAAACTTTAAAACATTAGCCAGGCCTGTAGTCCTAGCAACTCGGGAAGCTGAGGAAGGAGGACCACCTGAGTCCAGAAGTTTGAGGCTGCAGTGAGCATACCAATGCACTCCAGCCTGGGTGACAGAGCCAGACCCTGTCTCAAAAATAAATAAATAAATAATAAAGGTCTGAGGAGGTTACTTAAATTCTTCATCTTTGTGAACATATTATAGTCTATTGTGGTAATGGTACGGGTGTGGTAATGGTGATTTCTTTTAAAAAAATTAAAATATGAAAAAGGCTGGGCAAAGTAAACTCTAACACATTTTCTACACCCAGTGATATATAAGTTTAAAAAGAGAAAAATATTAGTATTATAAGTAATCACTTTTTGAAATGTGACTATTACAAAAATCAAAAAAATAAGCCTTTCTTCCAGTTTAAGTATATAAGATTGTATTATGAATAAATTTAGAAAAGATACCAAAAACTACAATTGAATGTAAATGTTGTTAAACATCACCAACTTCATTAAAAAAAAGAATAATACTAAAATCTAATTTTTATAATAGTTGACAGTAAAATTAAAAACTTCTCCCTACCTGCTGAAAATTATTTGGAGAATATAAATTAAATAAGTTGTGCCTTATGGTCATTATAAATTAGACAAATCACAAACTGATGTTCTTCTCTCCTAATTTGATTAACATAATTATTATTTCTGTTCTCTAGGTGTGGAATATTGGGTCTAACATTAACACCTGGTATTTTAGAGAAAATATACAAAAAAGGAAACTTTTCTTGTTATAACTTTTGGCAGGACTCTCAATGAAGCCATCTTTATTTAAACAGACACACTGGCTCATATACAAGGTCAAGAAAAAAATCACTTATATCATTTAATTTTATAAAGGAAAATTTCTGCAGAGTCCTATATGTAGTACATAGAGAAACAATAAATTAATTCAAGAGGAAACTTGCCAAAATTATTTATGGTAACTAAAGTGAAAAGTCAGCACTGTGTGATGGAAGATTTATCCAACACTGACTTGAACATGAGCTGATATGACAGAGAACACACCACTGAGGCATTAAGACTGCAAAGGCTTCATTCATATGATATTTAGAACATCTTAGAATAACTACTACATACTTCATGGTTTGATATTATGTTAAAACACAGGGAAGACAGATATCCCAAATTTTCCACTTATTAGCATAGAAATTCCCAGCTACAGGGGTTAACCCTGATAATCCTACATTTGTGAGATACCTAACAACAAACAATCCTTATCAAAAAATTGTTAATTTAAAAATTTACATAAAATATTTTAAAGTAAAAAAGAGGGATAAAACCCACCTCATTTATCATTTCTATTTCTCTAAATGTCAATCTGTCCAGCCAGTCTACTTTCACCATGTGTCCTTGTCGATGAGCTTTGGTGAGCTGTAGAATAAATACAATGACAAAAATTTTATTACAGATCTAGTAGAAAGAAGGACCAAGTATGTCAGAAGGGCAATATCAGCTTCACATATGATACTTTCCTATACACTTAGAAGGCATATGCAACTAAGAAACTGGGCAAAAGACAAATTTTTTTTTAAAGGAAAACAATTTTTTTTTAAAAGGTCCACAATTTGCCCTCTTTTCACATGTTAAAGAATAATGACGCTGTTCCTGAAATTATCTCCATTTTCTATATTTCTTATATTTTAACTATTACAAAGGGATGGAATTATAATAACAATAGTTTCATGAATGGGAAATAAACCACTTTTTCTCTTTTCTTCCCATCTTTCAATGTATCTAAACAACATGAAAAATGACAGTTATAAGTAATGAGGCATTTTTCTAGTTTTATACATTTAACATTTTAAGGTTTAAGCTCACACGTATGCAGGTATGCTTTGATTTTAGGAAACGGTGATAAAAGACTTCAACTTTCTACAGTAGCAGTTGGTAGAGTCCTGTGAGGTCTTGCGTACCAATCTACCCTTAGTTTTATAAATTAAATAATAATTCATCGACTCTTCAAATCCATAGAGAATTCCAGGTAAGTTCCAAAGTCCTCAAATTAGAACCATGTTTTAAGGTTTTAATTTTTAGTATCATACTTTTTGTAATGTTAAAAATCAACACCCTTCTCACTCCTTCTAAACAAATTGACAGTATAAAGCAAAACTGGACATCAAAGCTTTACAAAGTAGTTTATCTAAATCAGTTTCTTCCCCTTCACTTTCCATATCATGACAGCATTCCTATAAGGACAGAAAACATTGCCACCAATTTTATCTCTCTTCTGGAACTAAAAATCTTCACAATCAATCTTTGTTCTCTTCCTCGACTCTCATCACAACTATGTGGTCACACTATTTCAGAAATAAAAATACTAAGTCATACAAAAAGTCTGAAATTCGGGCCGGGCGCGGTGGCTCAAGCCTGTAATCCCAGCACTTTGGGAGGCCGAGGCGGGTGGATCACGAGGTCAACAGATCGAGACCATCCTGGTCAACATGGTGAAACCCCGTCTCTACTAAAAATTACAAAAAAAATTAGCTGGGCACGGTGGTGCGTGCCTGTAATCCCAGCTACTCAGGAGGCTGAGGCAGGAGAATTGCCTGAACCCAGGGGGCGGAGGTTGCGGTGAGCCGAGATTGCGCCATTGCACTCCAGCCTGAGTAACAAGAGCAAAACTCCGTCTAAAAAAAAAAAAAAAAAAAAAAAAAAAGTCTGAAATTCATAGTAAGTATCAATTTAGCTTACTTCCAATAATGATTCCCTTCCACCTGAGGTAACTTCTATATGAAATGTATAACAAGTTATTAATAAGTGCTTAGAATGATTACAAAAAGCAGAAACTAAGTATTTTATTGGTTCTGGTGGAATCATAGACAAATATGCTAGCAATATAAAAATGGTCACAAGGAAACCAAAAATCAGGCAATGTGACCTACAGAGAAGACTGTGAGGGTAGGAGCCAGAACACCAGAGTTCCAACCTTAATACTCAATTTCCAAACTATGTCCTCTCTGAACCCATATCAATAAAATTCAAGTATTAACTTCCATTCTTACTCCCAAAATTCAAATAAAATAATAGATGCAAAATATAACAGGTGGTATTATTTCATGCAGTCATTAGAAGCTTCTATTATCACTCTACAATATGCTCCAAGTTAGTTTTCAAAAGAAATGAAAATATATGAGGTTATTTTGCATCCTTTGCTTATATGAACAAAGTAACAGTAAAAATTAGTAACAAGAGTTTATATACTTCCTAGAGGAATGGAGAAAAAAATAACATTTATTTACATGCCAAATTATAGGCACTTTTTATAACCACTCTATTTCATAGACAATTTTGACCCCGGTTTGCAGATGACTATCAACTACTACGAGATGGCCAAGCTAGGATTTAAACCCTGGTCTCTATGACTCTAAAGCCTATACTCCTAACACCAGTCTTTGCTATCCTTTCTCTACTGATGTACCAAGAGTTTTAAGTGAAACTCATTTCTGTCATTTGTTGAATACTAGTTTTGTATTTATGATACAATAGTTAATCCACTCCTAATTTCCTATGAGCAAAGAACTGGCAATGGTAAATTTATGTGGGAGAATGTGGTGGGGACTTTTTCCTTCCTTTAGTAAACTATCCAAACAAATTAGAAATGTTCTAAAGCCATTTTCACTAGCTCTTGAATTTGTTTGCTTCTAATATATATTACCTCCCATATAGCATATGAGTAGCTTTCCTACTTGAATACTAAATATGACCTATCTCAATTGTGTAAGAGCTGCTAAGAATGTATGGACAGCATGGCAGTACTAAAATTGGTACACTCATTATGGAAACAAGTTTAAACTATCCTAGAGAAATTCACATTTGTGTACCATTATTTGCAATACAGAAAAATTAGACACAAAAGAATGAAAATGTCCATCAATAGTGGGAACTGTTAAGTTAGAGTACACATATGCTATGAAATACTATAATCAAAAAGAATAAGAAAATCTGTATGCCTTCATAGGAAAGGCTGTTGAGTGCAAAAGCAATTGCAAAATTAAAGGTACTATTTATGCTATGGCAACTGTTTGCATGTCTGTCTCCTGTACCTGACTTTGAAATTGACAGCAAAACTTCTGTGTATTTCTTTGAGCTAACTTTAGAATTTCCGCAGAATCAGTTACCACTCAAAATGTCTCCTAGCTGCCTGTCCTATTTACCTATTTCTACATAACAAACCAACCTAAAACTTAGTGGCTTAAAACAACATTCACTTTATTGTTTCACATTTTTTTTGGCAAAATCATCTTGAGGGACATTTAAATAATTTTTTCTTTTGGTCTCCCTCATCACTAGTCATAATATTGCATGCATTTGGTTGTTGGAGCCACAACATCCAAGCTGGCTCTAGTCACATGTTTAACACATTGGTGATAAAGGGTGGGCTTAGCTGGGATATTACGGTAGTAGTGCCTCTCTTTCCCCATGGATTCTCAGTGTTGCTCCCTCTCCAAATGGTTTTTCAACATGGTCACTCCAACAGAATAGCTGCACTTCTTACATGATAGCTTAATGTTCCCAATATATCAAGAAACAAAAGCTGTCACACTGTTTTGCCTGGAACAGACACAGCATCACTGCTGGTGCACTGTATCAGTTTAAATGGGGTAATATAGATATAATGTGGAATACAGGGTAGTACAGACATAATGTGGAAGAGTGTGACTATGAGAAGACATATTTCATTGAGGGCCATCCTAAGAGACTAGCACAGCGCTTACTTATCAGACAGTGCAAGCACATAATACAACTGACTGTTCCATTGCAAGGGAGCAGGTGGGTAGAGTTTAGAGAAGACAAACTCAGCTCTTGGCTGGACTTCAGGCAGCAGAAAAAGTCTAGAACTAGCTATCACAACTGCTAAATGATCCATCTCCGCCTTCCTCTTCAGAATAATCTCCTTCAACTCTCCAACGAACTCACTAAACTCCAGCTAACAGTTTCTTCTGGTTCTTCAAACCATTAAGCCATTTACCTTTACTGCTCAATGCAGGTGAAATAATTAGTAATTATTAATAATTATATTTAAAAATTTATTAATTTTTTAAAACTATAAAGCACTATGTAAGCTGTAACAGCTATTCTAATTAGCCCATAACCTTTGTCACTTCATCTCTTAATAGGTACTAATAACAATGTAGACATATATGAGTGGTTTTCATCAGTCCAAAGCAACTTCTAGTTATCACCAATCCAGGAACTTCAATAGATACTAAAGACCAAAAATGAACGTTAAAACACAGGTGGCGTAACAATTTATATTTTATTTTGGGTCTGAAATGTCAGTGACATAGATCTTTCCAAAGAGAAAATCTACATTCCATTAAGCGGCAGGGCAAAAGTAGGACAATCTGTTTCAATTGCTCGTGAAGAAATAATCCTCACTTGGATACCCACTCCAGGAACAGGATAGGTCAAGAAATAGGGAAAAAAAAAAAAAGTCATTCTCTCTTTTTAAAGGAAAACGGGTTTCTTACAGAATTTACAAGAAGTCACAAAGAGTTTGGAAGAAAAGTCCACTGTCACAGAGAAAAAAAAAGGCATCATTTAGCCTTAACTTCCCCAAGAATTAAGCAGCAAAGAGTTTTAAAAGCGATTTAAATTAAAGAATCCACAAGAACCAAATAACAACACAGCCGAGAAACTTCTTGGAGTACTAATCATGTATTGTCAGATTTAATGGGAGAACAAAAATATGGGTTTGAGGAACATGTCTCGATTAGTAAGTGTTTAATAAAAGTATCAAGAACAGAGCCAAAAGGAAGCCAACCTGCTGCACTGTGTAAGAATAAGATAATCAAGGAAAACCAATTTCAAAGCAGACAGTGATACCTGTAAATAGACAGACTTCCATGATCATGAGAACTCAGTTCAACGCTCTGTATTTTTCTCTGCTTTACTAGACAAATAAGCTTCTTGAGTGCTAGAGCGATGAATAGTCAATAGAAGCTAGCATTTATTCATTCAATGTCTATTTATACTTATTGAAAGGCATTCTATGTGAAAGGTTACAGGCACAATGGAAAACAAATGCATGTATACTCTGACATTCTGCCCAAGAGCTTGGGGCTTCAGGGAAGGAGGTAGGAGTGACATTCAAAAGGAAGCTAGAGAGAAAAAAAAAAAGATTCCTGCCATTGGTCAATTTTCCCTAATCTTTATACACTCTCAATACAAATATATATAACTTGCTGGCTATTAAATAGACCAACTTCCATCATGTCTATTATACCTTAAGACTGACAACTTGGAAATACAGGACATGAGCAAATCAATAAGTTGTCTTAAAAACAACTTTAAAAAATCCTTACTTTCATTTCAAATCAATAGAAAATTAACCAAGAATTTCAAACATTTTTAGTGTCCAACCATAGAGG